GGTGGGTCAGTTCTGCCCTGTCAAGTGAATGACAGGCTGACAGTGGCCGCATGTAATCATACATGGAACGATTATCTGTGGTTCGGGATCGATGATTGCCCCTGGGTGCAGACAGATTGCCCTATGTGCATGAGGCCAAAAACAAGTACACCTATGTTATGACATATTTGCTGCCTTGTGTAAATTCGGTAAACAGAGGAAGTCAACTGGTGTAACTGCATCATTTAACCTTAGACTAATATATTCAACTAAGAGAAGTGAGCTTGGCTGGAGCTTGTCTTGTGGTCCAAATACAGACATAGGGTTTAGAGAACATTTAGGTGTGCAGAGGTCTTTTTTAGGCCTTTGATCATATACATGCATGCAGGGTTTAGCCAAGCATGTATATTAAAACCTTTGTAGTGGAAAGGATTAAACATGAGCGGTCAGGCAATATTTTAATTGATGTTTCCTAATGAGACTAGACAGCTAAGGATTATAGACCAGAGATTTTCAGTCAATTTAATCATAATCGCCTAAATCAGAAAACAAACTTCTTTGGCCAGCTTCAGTTGACTTGACCTCTGTTAGAATCTCGTGTAACTGCATGTGGATAGTATTGGGTATTTCCAATTCACATATTTTGCTGACTTCATTGATCTTCTTTGTTTCCCCTAGGCCATAGGAAATGCAAAGACAACTAGAAATGATAACAGTAGTCGCTTTGGAAAGTACATAGAAATTGGATTTGATAAGAGGTTCCGGATTGTCGGTGCTCATATGAGGACATATCTACTGGAGAAATCACGGGTGGTGTTTCAAGTAAGTGCTTCACTAGATGCGGATGTGGGCTTATGGTAGTTTAGCTTTTTCCTTGTTTCCTGTAGAATGCGAAGAACAGCTGAAGAGCTCAGTTTTTTTTTAGTTTTGTATAGAGTGGAGAGGGATTACTATACCTGTCAGGTTTTTATTGCCACCTTGTGTCCCTGTTGGGGAGATTCGTCCCCTCCTTTTTTTGTCCTGGTGACTGCTATCACAGACGGTGAAAGTAAAAGAAAATCCCAAATTTCTGGTTGTCATCAGAACAGGAATAGATGGGAAATTGTCCAGTGGACACACTATTTCTGCTGACGCTGCTGACCACCGGGGATTTCGCCTTATTTGAAGAGATTTCTTCCTGTACAGGAAGTGAAGGGAAACCTCTCAAATGGGTAATAAATTGCCAAAAAGCTGACATAGGTTATAACTCTCTCCTACTCTACCCAAAATTCTAAAAAAAAAACTCTGCTTCAGTTCTACTTTAACAACATGGTTCTCTATAGTATATGTAATTTACTCTGACTAGTATTTGTTTAGTATTTTTAATACATCTTTGAGTGTTCCCATTTGCACTTAGCGCTAATTTTTTTTAAGGCTAAAAGAAACGCTAAGCGATTATGGTAGTACATAATAACGGCTTATGATTACAGCTATACTGGAATGCCTCAATACTGCTTAATGCTTGTATGGGCTCCCAGGTTTGGACAATAGCATAGTTAAATCGCTTTCATGTTCCCACCTTATAATTGATAGTTTAAGACCTCACTAGTTTGGTGGTCTAAATATATATGTGTATCCATCCCGTCCTTCCATTTTCTTCTCATACATCCGTGTTTTTTCCCATTCTTCCTATCCTTCCATTATCTTGTCATATACAAAAGGAAATATAGTGGCCTTTAGCTTGGGTCATTAAAGCACTTGCGAGTAATACTTAATACCTTGGTGCATTTATAAACCGTTCGCAGAGCTGTTCGTTCTGTGAAAGTCAGACATTTACATTTGCACTGCATTATGACTACTAGATGGAGCCGAGGAGCATAAGGAATAAATGCTTATTTCCTCTGCTCCTTAAGCTCAATCCAGTAACCATAATGCAGTGCAAATGTAAATGTCAGACTTTTGCAGAATAAATGGTTTTGCAAACGGTTTATAAATGCACCTCTTAGTGTTGTTTAAACACAGTTCTGTGGTCATCTGAAAAAGGCAAGACACATGCCGTCATCCTTCTTTTTTTTTTTTTCATATGCCTGAACAGTGGACATCTAACAAAAGAAAGTCAGATACTTTTATACCTTTTTATATGGCTGACCTAATGTACAAGGGCTCAGAAGATATCTGACAAAGACGAAAGAGAAAATCTTACCGTTCACACCTAGGCGTTTTGTCGCTTAAAGCTAAGTACATTAAAATACTTAGGGCAAGGAATCCAATTCATTTCACACCTGGGCATGTCCTCATTGAAATTGATGGGACCAAAAAGCACTGTAATCTGCCAAAGTACTGTAACTCATGTACTTTTTTCCAGCAGCAGGCGTTTTTCTGCTTGTGACAAAATGCTCAGGTGTCAACAGGGGCCATAGAAATGAATGGGATTCCTTGGCTGTGGAGAAACAGGCATTCACGTTTTGTACGTTTCTTGGTAGTTTAGACCTTGTAAACTGCTAATACGAATACAGTACAGATCCTGCATGTTTGGTGACATACCTTGCAAAGAGCCCTGTAAAGACCGAAATCCTTTTGGGTCTGTACCTAAGAAATGGTAGTGTAGGGCCTTTTCATATTCTACATCCTGTTCCAAATTGATAGGCAGGACAGTCTCATAGTAGGGCTGTCGTTGGAGATTCTAGGAGAGCAATTTATGGGTAAATCTAACTATATTTGTATTCCTGCTATGTTAAGCAAAACTTTCCATAGAGTAGTGCTTCTTTTTCATTGAAGCCCTAGCCACGGTCGGTGAATAGCAAATCTACCCAACAGGATATAAACATTCTTTTAAGTAAGAATGAATCTTCATCCGTAAACCTTCCAAAATCTCTTTCTCAAGGCAGAAAGGGATACTGCAAGGTTCTGAAATGTCAGTTTGTGATGCCTGTTGCTTTATGTGAATAAAGGACAAGACTATTGCTATATCATAGTGTGCTGGTGAAGATTCATATTGCCTTCTGATTGTATGGAGACATCATCCACCAATTCACTACAGCACCCTACATGAACTGAGGCCTCTAAGATGTGCTACGGGTACCGTACAGCTTCTCTATGCTTTTGAGTAGGTCTCTTCAAAGCAATTCTGTCCTTGTTCTTTGTTGGATATGCCAGGTCACTTAATCGGCAGAATGGCAACTTATTGTCACTACATTGCACAGTTCTGTAAGTTACACAAATGATTCTGTAGATACACGTTGTGTACTGCAGTTCTCTACATTGCTGTTAACCTATTTTTGCAAACCATGATGACCCCTCAAAGGGTTATAAGAGTCTACGGCAAATATTCAGACATTTTAATATGAAATTCTAGATGGGATAAAAAAGGTTGATGAGCGGATAATAATCCGTTCTTTTTAGCTAAAAAAAATGGATGGATTATTTTCCATATTTTTACAGCCATACGGAGTCTACCATCCTCAATCATTATATTTTGCTCTTTGTGATTCGGCAAGCTACTGTCCCAAAGTCTGCAATTGTAACCTACACTGCATTTTTGTTTTGAAAAATAAAACCGATCCAAAAGCCCAAGTGAATCCAGATATTGAGAGCTCAAGTGTATGAGGTTTCATATTGTGCATCCAAGTGCTGATTCAGTCTGTTTGTATTGCTTAGCACATGTACAGTTTCTGTGTGAGATTTAATGCTTGCTGAGCCTAAGGCTTCTTCAAGCAAAATGCTAAATTCTACTCGTCAGCTTTCTAGTAATCTGTATATTGGTGTGTTACTTTATATTGCTGCTACTTCTTTTTTTTTTTTTAGGCAGAGGAGGAGAGAAATTATCATATATTTTATCAGCTGTGTGCATCGGCTTCATTACCGGAATTCAACATTCTTAAACTGGGTATGTTTTTAATACTGATGCAAGAAATCTAAATAAAATACTAGAGCTTTATTTTATTAAAGTGTATGTCAAGGCAAAAAAAATTGTCCAATACATCTCTTGAAAATATGCAAATTTTCCCAACTATTATCCATTTAAAAAAGTACAGAAAATTACCTGTTAATCTGTCAGAAATCCGGTTCACTCCTAACTTCTATTCGGAGTGCCCCTGCTGCAGTGAAATTTGAAGCTGTGTTTTCAGCACTGCCCTATTCTTTTCTGATGCACTATACAACATCTCTCGCTTTTCTCATCTACAGAACATAAGGGGAGGGGGGTTGTAGTCCCAACAGGGGAGAACTCTGACAGGTTGACCCCTTGGCATTTCAGTGTAGCAGAGACTGTTATCGGCTCAACAAGAAAGTTGGGAGCTCTTGGCAGGTCAGCAGGTATTCATTTTAATGAGATGATGCATGGGGATACATGCATGTATTTCAGGGATGTACAGAATATGCCCCCCCACATACACAATGGTGTGTATAAATCTTTTCACAAAAGATTCCTACTAATTACAAATTTTTCCAGTTGAATACTATAAGATGTATTTTGGTGAAAGCTATTGTGAATCTTGTGTAAAATAAGAAATGTATGAATATATGTGTACAGCATTGGTATGCAATGACCTGCAATGACCCCCACAGCAACCCGTTCTAGCTAGCTTTTCATTAGTTTGAGGCTGGTATTGGGTTGTTTACTGTGGTTTTATGGTTAATCCATTGTTGTTGATGATATTGATTTAAAGCAACATATATGTGTTAATGTGTTGAATTTGGTACTCAGGGGCAGTGGCTTATAACTTTAAGGGCCCAGTCGCACCATAAACAGTGCATTCCAGCGCGTTCAGCCTCTGGAGCGCAACCAAGCCGGCTCACTTTGTTTTGGGGCAGGAGGGGTGTGGCGGTGCATTGAAGTCAATAGCCCCGCAGCCACCCCCCCCCCCCCACACCCCCGCAGTGCTATCGCCGGCACCTGAACGCGTGGCGTGCCTGCATTACGGTCCTGCGGGTGGTGGGCATGGCTGCGGTGCCATTGATTTCAATTCCTAAAAAAGGGTTTTGTCTGGAGCTATATTTCAAGTGTATCTAAAGCCAAAGCTTTTTTTTCCCTTTTATTTGGATAGAGTAAAGGAGTGTTCAACCCACTATAATTTTGCTTTTCGCTATAAGTGTCTCAATAGACAAGCTGTCCTGTAGCCTCAAATCAACTCCAGGAAGTGAGCGGATATACAGTATATTCAAAGTGAGGGAAATCCTGTTAGACATTTGTCACAGGAACAAGTATCCCCATTCCCTCTATTCCTGTTCTGGGGGCAACTGGTGGCCTCACTTTTGTTCCTGGTGACACTGGTGATCAGGACAAATAAAGAGAGCGAATCTCCCTAATAGGGACACAGAACGAAACAAAAACCTGACAGTGGTTCTAACCCCCTGATCACTCCATCCAAATCTAACAATAAAGTTCTGCCTTTAGCTTTAACTTTTTTTTCTTAGTACAATCCTTAGTCTATCCTGGAATTAGAGCAAAAAGCAAAAAACAAAAACATTTTGCACGGAAGATGGTCTGAACTACGTCTGGAAAATAGCATAATGTGTCCTTATATAAAAGTGTTGAGAATGCCTGTCATTGGCCGTGGAGAATACATTCTTCCAAATTAGATGCTGTGCTTCCTGCCACACTGTACAAATAGGGTACAAAGTGTTATTATTTCTGGTGAGGTTAAAGGCCACAAACTAGTTCATAAAAAAGTAAAAGCCATTCAGAACATTAACAAAAAGGCTATTCCTAAAAATCGCTCTGAATTTGACTACGAGTATAATATGGTGGTTACGAAATGATCCATGTTACAGAAGGTCTCTCTTCCCCTATGTTAATGTACACATTAGTATATAAATTAAAGTTGAACTCCAGGAAAACGGCAAAATACAATCATGGAAGCTGTTGTTAGTTGCCAAATGGTGTGTATTTCTGCTCATTCAGTTCTGTAGTTAAAGTGTAACTAAGCCAAAACTTTTTTCCCAATAGAGTGGAGAGGGATTAGAACAGCTGTCAGGAATACTTTGGTGTCTGTGGTCCCATTATGGAGTTTTAGCCTCTCTATTTATCTTGGCGACTTTTATCGTTTAGGGGAACTCTAGGGATACACCAATACCGATACTAGTAGTACTCGTACTAGCCCAAATGCTCCGATACCTTCCTCTGACCGGCAGTGCTGTAGGGGAACATGGAGCTGGCTGTCTGGACAATCGGCAAGCCGGGTGGCAAGTAATGACCCGCTTCCCGGCTTCCTGATTGGCCGGGAAGCCGGCTCCAAGCTGATTGGCCTGGGAAGTCGGCTTTCCAGCCTATCAGGGAGGCGGTTCATTACTCACCGCCCGGCTTCCTGATTGGCCAGGAAGCCGGCTCGATGCTGATTGGCTTTGAAGCCGGTTTCCTGGCCAATCACAATCGAGCCAGCCGAACAACATGCTGACGGCTTCTTGTTTGCATGGGAAGCCGACTCCATGCCAGCAGAAGCACCGATATTGGTACTCGGTATCGGCGCGTACTGAAAGCAAAATATCGACACTCGTACTTGATAACGAAAAACCGGTATCGCTGCATCCCTAGTGACAACCCAAATTTTGGGTTAACAGCAGAACAGGAATAGATGGGAAATCTTAAAGAGGGCACTAGTTCTGGTGACCCTGAAGACCACCAGGCATTTCTTTCACTTTGGAGGGAATTCCTCTCATTTCCGGTTCCTGGATATCGGACGGGAAGTGAAGGGAGATTTCCCCAATGGGACACAGATGGCGAAAAAGCTGACCCTCCCTTACTCTATCCATTTATTAAATGAAAATAAAAGTTTGGACTTCAGTTCTACTTTAAGTAACACCAACACATATCACATTACCAACAATTTGTGTTCAGGATTGTTTTGTAAAGATTAATGTTTATAGACTACTGTTTTTTGCTAGGACTGGCAAATAGGGGAAGCTTGGGCCTGTTAGAATATGTCCTTTATTCTAGATCTGCAATGCTGGTATCTAGATGAGTTCCAGTTTTTTGCTGAGTGAAGTTGTTTTGATCAAGTAAACAAAAATGCACAGGTTGTGTTTGGATGGGCCTGAGTTGGCCAAGGAGAGTTAACAGTCCTTTAAACCAAAATTTGATGAAGCTTGAGCATATACTAATTAATAATGTGCATTGGCTGTGAATGTTTTCCTTTTTTTAAGTTCACTAGCCAGCTAGAGTTTTCATACCACAAATACAATTGCCCAAAACGAAGTATAGGGGAGCATTTCTAAAATAATATCTGTTCTTCTATGACTGCGCACAACCGCTGCTAAGATAGAGCCTGTTATTGGAAGGACCTATTAAAAAGATCAGGATCGGACACTTGAAGATGTGGTAAAGAAGTCCTGCCATGTTTGCCGATGGGTTAACTTTGTCTAAACTAGTCGCGTATTTTAGCTAAGCTGATGATGGCGTATGATTTAATATTCAGGAGTCAAATGCTTGTGTTGTTTTGGGATTTTTTCCCCCCCACTATTTTATTGTTTTCCATGATCTTATGCAAAGCTTCACCTTGCACGCAGGATAGTGTCAAATAAGGCTTGAAGTATTAAACTCTCAAACTTTTTTCAATAATGAACCCAGATCAATTTATCAAAACTGGAGCAGACAAAATCTGGAACAGCTGTGCATGGCAACCAATCAGCCTCTCTCTTTCATTTTCAAACCCTAAGTGAACAAACTAAAGAGAGAAGCTGATTGGTTGCTATTGGCAACTGCTCCAGATTTTGTCTGCTCCCGTTTTGATAAATTCCCTCCGTTATGTTTCCAGACAGCCGGCTCCAACTCTCTCAGCTCATCTTCCCTGAACTTCCTGTCCAGTACAATATTACAAGGGACAGAGCAGTCTCCAGCAGCCATCCATCTACTAGCTGCCGGACAAAGGAGGCGGGAGGAGAAGGGAGCAGGAGGTGACTTGCCTTGCTATGACTGTGTGTTTATCGAGGCACACATAACTTGCTAGCACACAAAAGGGTGGCTCCATAGGTCCCTGCAAGGGACAGGAACCACCATAAAACAGGATATCAGGGTCAGTGCTCAGTGGACCAGCTGTTTCTACCGGAAGTAAAAACTTCAAAACATCAAGAAACAGCATCCAGTGTAAGTAAATTCATCGGCAAGGGAAATAGCTTAAAAACCTTTTGGCTTTAATATTGCTCTAATATGGGAAAAATGTTTTTAGCTACAGTTGGATTCATTAGAATAAAAATCTTTAAAATTTTACTTGATAGGATTCTTGCTATAACATTTAAATAGATTTTGTTTCTGTAAACCAGATAACATCCGCTCATATAGGTAGCAAATGTTTGCTTAAAATAACTATTTGGTCTTTATTTAATGAGAGAGTGTAAGTAGCATTAGTGGTGGTAACCCAACAAGAAGCTTACAAAGGTCAGCTCTCATTGGCCTTCCTGTACTACTGTGCTGAACGTTTATTTCTAATTGGTTCCTGTGGTCTGCAATACAACATTGTGCTTTATATCTTTTGCGTTAACCAAATTGCATACATTTCTGAGCCTATATGTACTTTTTTCCCCCCATTTTCAGCATAATAAGGTAATTATTTTCTGTATATTTTCATGTAAACTGTAATATTGAGATTAATATGACTTTGAAAAATTCAGTTACTATGTCTATGCACAGGGAGTGCCAACAGTTTCCATTACACAAAGCAAGGCAGAAGCCCAGTGATTGACGGAGTTGATGATGCGAAAGAACTAAGAAACACTCGGCATGCCTGTGCACTATTAGGTAATGTAGATTTTTATAGCTCTTACTTCAGCTGACATGCTGCTTGTTTGTCTTTCCATGAGCTGAATAATTATGCTGAACTGTGCTCTACATTTGTTTGCAGGCATTGGTGACCAGTACCAGTTGGGAATCTTTCGAATTTTAGCTTCTATACTTCACTTGGGAAATGTGGAAATTAAATCTCGAGATTCAGACAGTTGTTTAATCCCTGTAAGTGTAATTTAATTTTCTGTGCATACATGTGCCATATTACTGCAAATCATTGTCAACGTTCCAACATTTACAGGATTTGCCAAATGTTAGAACCTGTTCTACATATCTGTGTCCATCTGAAAGTGAACCTGTATCATGCAATATGACGGTCACTTAACACTGCAGCTATACAGCAGGAGCCGTCTGAAGCTACATCTTGCTTTTATTGTGCCTCCTCTTTGCACTACTACAGTGTTTGAAAAAATTCGGTGTAAATTCTAACTTATGAAAGCTGGTTATTGTCCCCATACAGCAGCAGCTTGGTCTACCAAAAGGTTCCTCGGCCACCAAACATTACATCATAGGCTGGGGGAGGGCATGTGCAGGGTTTTCCCATAACCAGATGTTTGGGATTTCCTGGGCCTCCAGCAGAGTCTAGGGAGACGCTAAATGTTAAATGATGGGCTTTAGGGTGTCCACTGTGCCACTATATTATTTGCATTTTTACAATAAATGTAACAGTCTGCTTTACGTTTGGAGGGTCACATTGAGTTTATGCCTTGGTCAGTAAAGTGAAGTTAAATCTTAAAAATGCATTCAAGTACCTTAACTATTAACAAAACTGTACTTGATTTTTGTATCACTCGGCTGTAGATCCTCAAATCATCTCTGAATTAGGGATGACACTGTCCTTCCTTGTGGAGGGTGGCTACTTTTGTTCTCCATGGTCCCTGTGCGTGTTGTAAAGTAGCCACGGCTCCAAGCTCTCTCCTGTGATGGATTACAATCTCATCTTTAGTTCACTGATTTGTATTGAGATTGTAGTCCATCACAGGAGGGAGCTTGGAGCGGTGGCTACTTTAATACAAACACAGGGACCATGGGGAACAAAAGTAGCCACCCTCCAGAAGCAAGGACAGTGTCAGCACCAATTCAGAGATGATTTGAGGATCTACAGCCGAGTGACACACAAATAAGATACATGTTTGTTAATAGTTAAGGTACTTGAATGCATTTTTAAGGTTTAAATCCTGAGTTTAGTGTCACTTTAAAGTACTGGCAGCAGTACTAATGCTTCAGTTAATCCGTTTTTTATATATTCACTAAAGCTTAAAAGTGTTTTGACATGAGTTTTATACTTTGTTTACTGTGCCATATTTTTTTGATCACATTTCATGAGACAAAATCAACATCTTTGCTGAATGACTGCAGGAAGTATGGCTTTTGACAGGCACAGATGCCATGAAATACTGTAGACACTTCTCAAACCATAACGCATGTTGATATGATCAATCTAATCACCTTCATATATGTGTGTGGAGAAACCTAATATACTTTATTCTACTCCCCTTTGACAGATGGAGAGTGTTTCCCTATCTCTCATATGTTCCTTTATATCAGTGGCATACTTTATCAAAGCCAGCACTAGATGGCAGTTGGTAGAAAATATGCCACAACATATTCCATAGAAAAACAAGAAAACAGAAAAGGCGCCAACTCCTTGTAAATGATAATTTAATAGTGCAAATTAAAAATTAAACAATAGGTACTCACAAACATGACGGAGATGTAGGCATAAACATCATCAATCCAGCCCTCTAAGATGGTGACTAGAGGTCACTGAAACTTCAAGACCCTGCAATTGAGGTTGAGAGGGCTGCTCCCAAGTGAAATTTGGATTGAAGACACAGTATGAGGATATCAGTGCCGGGTTAATTTGTGTCGTCTGTGGATTTATTTATTATTTGGAATGGTCAGAGGCACTTCAAACGTTCTACAAAATGTCAATGATTACCAGCACTTTTGTTCACACTGGCCACCCTAGCTGAAATCTGGTGACCGTATCATGCTATGTGTAGTTCTGTTGATTCACTTCCACTGTTTGTTTTGGCGTTTTGTTTATCATCCTAAACCGTTTCTTTAACATATTGCAGAATTTATTTTGTGAAAGAGATCAATTAATAAAGTGACATTGTCCTTTTGTTGCAGCCAAAACATGAACCTCTTATTATATTTTGTGATCTAATGGGAGTGGAGTTTGAGGAGATGTCACACTGGCTCTGCCATCGAAAGCTTGTAACAGCCGCCGAGACCTTTATCAAACCAATCTCTCGACTGCAAGCAACCAATGCTAGAGATGCCCTATCGAAACACATCTATGCGAACCTCTTTAACTGGATTGTATGTCATGTCAACAAAGCCCTGCTGTCATCTGCCAAACAGAATTCATTCATTGGAGTCCTTGATATCTACGGGTAAGCACAAGTCCCTTAATAATCTGGAGATTGTTAAGTAGCTATGTCTTTCATGCAAAGTTTTATGAATCTGAGTTAAAAGAGAACTATGGGGTGAGGGTTTTTCTCTATGGTTCCCTTTAGGGACATGGGAGGACATATACTAACCTCCTCCCGTGACCCAAAGCTCAGTATATCGCAGGCTATTGCCCGCAATATACTTAGAGCGCCGCAGGCGGGACTGATCCAGACAATGCTGTCGAGATCCACCTAGCTGCGTGAGTGACAGCTGGCTCTGCCTATCTAGAGGCAGAGCCATCTGTGCCTGATCCCTCCCCCGTTCATTCCTCCACTCAGCGCTAGAGGGGAGGGGGGGAATCTCTGTGGGGAGCAGTGACTCACCGTCACCGTCACTGCTGGGAGACCATCAGGAAGTGAGCAGATCGGTGCATGTTTCTGCTCACTTCCCGATCAATAGAGCTGACAGGTAATAGCTTCTTTGTCACAGGTTGGCTCTAACTATGAGGATGGGTGAAAATCACTCACCTCATAGTTCTCCTTTAAGGTAGGCCATTACATATACAGTATTTAGTGCGATATTAACAAGTCCCTTGCAGAATGGTTATATTGTCATATGCAAGGGTCCAGCACCGAGCTGTCCCTCACAGAGTATTTGCTGCCTTGAGGCAATGTCGTGTAGGGGTTGGGGGGGCTGCTGATAAGGAACACTTGTCATGCGGGAAGGGGGGTTTTTGAGGGGCTGTCAGCATCTTTGGCATCCCATCCAGCTCACTGATGTCACTAGTTGCCAGGAGCTCAGAGAGATGCAAACCAGAACTTCTCCGCTCAGCTCTTGGCAACCGGTGACGTCAGTGAGCTGGACAGGGACACCAGACAGAGTGTTTACAGTTGCTAAGAGCCCCACCACACCCTAGCCGCCCCTAGTGAGATGCCGCCTCATAGGGATAGCCCTGGTCCAACACAGCTATTGAAAGCTTTAGAAAAATTTGACGAGCCATAGTGGAGTTTTTGCCCTGTGATTGTTATCACGGGATACAGGAAAGTCAGGTACCTCGTTCAAAGTTTGTACATTATCTACAAAACATGTGCTTGGCATTCGGTGTATCTTTCTATAGCCCTATGCCCAGAGGCGTAACTAGAACCTTCAGGGCCCCGGTGCAAGAAACCATGAAGGGCCGCAAGCGCAGTTGCTGAGGTTGGCAAATTCGACTACGTTGAGTATGAGTACTCGTGAAAATGCCCAATCTTGGCAGTAGTGTATCCCTACTTAAAAATATAATGCATTGCTGGGACTTGTAGTCCTACATAGTTGGTGCTATTCTGCATTGCTGTATAATGATTATACAGCAATGCCGAATACCACCAGCTATGCGGGACTACAAGTTCCAGCAATACATTATAATGAAAGTCCGCTATTCAGAATACCATCAGCAAACCCCCCTTCCCACTCCAGACTTACCTTCTCTCTCCTGCAGGGCACTCTTCCGTGTCTCGGTGGCCTGGGGGCGGGGCTAAGTGGAGAGAGTCCTCACACAGCAGAATGTGCTGCCTGGCGGTGCCTGCAGCACATTCTAAGGGACCTGTGACGGCCTCTCCATCCCCGCCGCACAGCCACCTGTACATGCTGCGCGTGGCAGAGCGGCAGGGAAGGAGCGACACGATCTCGGGGGGCCCCTCTTCTTCCTCGCTGGGCCCCTCCCAACAGGTGGAACACCAGGGCCCAGTCGCAATTGCGACCCTGGTAGTTCTGCCAGTGCCTATGCCATAAAGAACCCTTGCAACAGCAAGCAGCCAGAAGTCATTGTCCATTGCTTGGGCAGGGCTATGTTTGGTTAGCTTGACTTACTGCAGCTTATTGCTTTTAGCATCATATTAAGGAACTTTCTTGTTTCATGAATGTAACCAGAAATTATATTTACAAGCTGTAGTGTAGTAGTCTTAGAGGAAAGCTATCATGAGAGAAGCACATAAGCTGCCATTACTGATCTCACCATCTAAAAATACTTGTTGCTTGGCTGCCATGCTGATCCACTGGTTTTAACACTTTGACTTATTGACCCTGACCAAGTATGAAGATGTAAGGGCTTCTGACTTTACTCTGACATTTCTGTTTTGTATACTCTTTTTGGTAACTCTGAAAAGCAAGCAATTAGGTTTAGGATGATAGCCAGGCAACCAGCATTTTATAGAAAGAATACAGCAATGATATCCCCTGTATTTCTTTCATGACAGGCTTACTTTGACTGCAATTTTTCAGAATAACCGCATTTTAGGTACCATCCTTTAGCTGTTATTGTCCCTGCAGGCCATGCAGAAAAATCAGATCAGACAGATTACCTTAATTGAAGAGATTTGTGTCTTCTCTTTACATCATAATGTGCCCAGCCCCCTCTAGTGGACGTTTTTGGGAGATGGTAGAGAGGCATTTTAAAGCTAAACTCCAGGAATGATCCTTTTTTAAACTTAGTGGTCCAGTTTGGTTGCATCAAATTCTTCATATCTCACATCCGAAGGGCCTCTAGAGATGCAGACATCCACTGTATTAGCCTGTGCTATGTAAATATTCAGTGCTGGGCTCTTCCAAGTGTTGCTTGAGCAACGAGCTTGCTCCTGTACATCCGCTATTCAGAAATACAAGGCATTTTCTGATTGGATGAGGCAGAGATCATGATGTCATTCCCCCTCTCCACCTTGTTGATGGTTGGGGGTTGAGGTGACAGTGGTCACTTTTAGCAAAGCTAGCCATACATTACACAAGTCAGGTCTTGTCAAATTGAGTAGTGTGTGGCCCCCTTGTGGCCCTCCCCCCTCCCATTCCTCTATGCCTGTTTGACAAAAGTTGATTTTTCAATCACACTTTGTTGAAGGGGCTGAATGAGAAAAAATGACAAGTGTATGGCCAGCCTAAGGAAAGGAACAAAGTCACTGAGTGGATAGCCTGCCAGAGTAACGACAACTAAAGGATTTGCACAAAGTACATTTATCTTTTAATTAATGGAAACATATTTAATTGAATATTTCAAATATGCAGAAACTGATGGCTTTTGTAAAGAGAATCTCAGTAGTTTTGGAGAAATGTCAGCACGACTGTTTTAGCTTATCAAACATTTATGAGTAATATCTGCTGTTTCCAAGACATCCATTCTGCACTGTGTGTACATGTATGTGCTCGTCTTTTTCTTTTTTTAAGCTATACCGGTGTGAAAAACAGAAGCATAACATTATTATGTACACATATAGACATTATTATGTTTTACGTTTTTTTGTGATTAATGTAGGCAAACAAAACCTTCTGTGTATTTGTAGGACAGTGCATTGACCATCATTGATATTAGGATCAGTCTGATTATGTTAGTAACTTACCTGCTAAATCCTCCTCCTTGTCTTTTCAGTACAGTGTCTCTAAACTGAATACTTTTTGGCGTCATCTAAATGTGCCTTTTTCAAACCATATGTTTATTTCCTAGGTTTGAAACATTTGAGATAAACAGCTTTGAGCAGTTCTGTATCAACTATGCCAATGAGAAGTTGCAGCAGCAGTTTAATCTGGTGAGTGGTCACTCATATTATCTTCTGCTCATCAAGCATGTAGGCCTTCATTGCTGACTTGGTTCTGAAAGGTAATGGAGTAGATGAAGTCTGACTTCTGAATCTGCGTATTTGTTCCTGGTTAGTAATGTATTGAAACCCGTGGAGCAGAATGGAAGCCAGGCAACTAGCACTTTTCTAAGGAAAGCGCAGCAATAGAAGCCTACATAGTTCCTCACTACAAATTATTATTTGATTTCTGTGTTAAACCAAAACGTTTTTCTTTTTAGATAGGCTGAAGAATAGTTAAAACCCCTGTTTGTTTTGTTTTTCATGTGTGCCCCCTTGTGGAGATTAGCCTATTGACAAAACAGGAAGTAAGAGGAAATCTCTTCAAAGTAGAGAAAATGTCCTTTTGGAACGGTATCGCCAGATTACCATCCTCATTGGTAGACGTCCCCTCTCTTCCTCTATGGTGATATCCTAAAATACAGGATTTTCCTTCACTTTCTCACTTTACAAATAGAGGGAGTGAATCTCTATAACCAGACACAGACAGCTATAATAACCTGACAGAGGTTCTAATCTCTCACTACTCTATCTAGGAACAACAAAAAAGTTTTGCCTTGGATAAACCTAAACGGTTTGGTCTGTTTTTAAATATACCATATAAATTATTTTGTTATATCTGTTTGATATGTGGAATAGAACTGTCCTGTATCTTGTGCACACTTGAGACAGGCTTAATGAGAAGTAGAAAGGATTTACAAGTTGTAAAACACTCAATTTAGGGAGTGAAGGTCACTTTCATTTCAGCCATGTGACTGCAATATTCAGATCTCATTGGACTTGTCTAAAAATAATTGTCACTTTTTAGAAGGCAAGAATCCTTATCCTTGTGTGTTGGTTTATAGGATATGAGCCTCTGATATGCTTACTTATATATACCTATCTATGTCAGGGACAGCAGGAAAGCCTTGTGTCCAGTTATTACACGTTAAAATGCTGAGGCATAACACTTAAGAAACTAAAAAAGAAAAAAAAAAATGAATTGGTATGATAAAAAGAGGATAAGGAGAGGTATTTGCTAGATTCAGCACAGGGGGGACTTTGAATGCTTTTTTTTTTTCTTTGAATAAAAAAGGGAATGGAAAATGTAGTCCTGGCAATACTGTGGCCATGCTTCATCACATATGTTGCATAAGCGTACTAGTATTAAAGGCCAGTTTTACCCCAAACAAATCCAGTTGTCTGTGGTTGCTGATAAGTGAAATTTGTTGTTCAGCTCTCCCCAAAGGCTACAGCCATAACAACCAAATAATGGTGTCCCCATTACCCAGGGGATTCATTCTAATGTGGGGAAAAACATAGGGAGCTGCAGGAGAGTAACCTGTTTGTTATGGCCCTGAGTATATGTATATATGTATATAATCTTTGTATTATATATTGTTTTATTATTGTAAATTGTCTGAAGATAATTTTGAAGGTGATTTTTATACATTTCATACGATTGCTGTTTCGTATTTTCATTCTTATATTTTATCTACACATTGTAGAGATTTGTATATTATTCTAGTGGCTCACTGCGTATCATGTAGTTAATTGGCACCCCTGCTGAACAGTTGATGGGGGAAATATAAGTAGTCTGGTGGTTTTTAGCCAGGGAGAGGAGACAAACATCTACTGAGATAAGAGAATTATTAAATGCAGTCATTGCAGGAACCATGTTCTGTCCCTAAGACTAGACATACACAGTTAGAATTTCGGAAAATTCACAGGAACCGGTCAACAAAAGTCTTATAGTGGCTGGCCCTGCCACCTTGACAAGTCTATTGTTAAAGCGGACCTTTACTCTCAAAAATCAAATTCTACCAATGCATCCCTCTATTCATGGTGATTAATATTAACATAGACATGTCAGGGGTAAAATGCTGTGATTTTAAAATACTTATACTTGCGGAGCATTCACTTCCTGCTTTGAAAGGGCAAAATAACTTCAGTTTGCCAAAGCAATGCACACTGGGATTGCCTTGTCAACAGCAAACCATTGCTGGGAAATCTCATCCGTAATCTCACAAGATCTCAGGGGAAGACCTATTCCTCCCCTAAGATGATGTGCATAGTCACATGTCCTAGTCATATGTCTATTCACATGTGCCAAAAATCCAGGAAGTGAAAGGACATCTAGTAATCTGCCCTTAGTAAACATGGCCACTGTCAGACTGGTAAAGAAAAGAGAAATAAGGAATGCAAATAATTCAAAACCTGCAATTATCTAGAAATATGTGCTTGTAGATTGTCATCACTAAACATTTCTAAAGGTGTGTTTGTTGTTATTTTAAAGATATGGGTATAAGTCCATTTTAATTCAGCTGCAGTGATTGCTGGGTATTCTGACCGCTGCATACACAGGCTGTAAGAATACGATAACTGCAGTGGGAGATTCATATTCACCCTGTTTAGCGTGGATGTTGGAATCTCTTCCATGTATGGAAAGCTTTAATACTTATATAATTACCAGTAAGATTATTAAATTTATATCTAAATTAAATTCATATTTATATAGATCCCTTTTAGCATGCAGAAATGTATGGCATATAGTATACAGTATACCACACTATATTTCACTTTCTTCATAACTGTTTTGTTGGCGTACCAAAAATTGGTATCTTTGCTACTGGTTTTGTTACTGAAGGTATTTGACACCATACCTGTCATATGTCTTCTCTGAATTTTACCCAAGGCCTACACCTGCATTTTTGAAGTTTTACATTCCTCTGAACACATTTTTCTGCTTTTTTTGTCCAGCATGTTTTTAAGTTAGAACAAGAAGAGTACATGAAAGAACAAATCCCATGGACCTTAATTGACTTTTATGACAACCAGCCCTGCATCAATCTCATAGAAGCCAAAATGGGTATCCTGGACCTACTTGATGAAGAATGTAAGGTAGGAGGGCTATCTGTCTACAATGTTTTACAAGACTAAAAGCCGCATACTACTTCAAAAGTTTTATTGTTTTCATCAAAACATACACAAAACGTACACAAAGAAAAATAATTAAAACATTACATTTTTTCTAAAGCAATACAAACTAATGCTTTAAGGTCACTTTCTTAATATTATGATTCGTGAGATGACGAGGGAGCATGACGCCGGCTTCCCAGCCAATCAGAATGCCGGGCGCTGTGTCATTACACGGCACCCGGCTTCCGGATTTGCTAGCTTCCTGACCAATTGGGAAGCGCGTCACTGCACGCTACCCGGCTTCCTGATTGACCGGGAAGTCGGCTCCATGCTCTCTCATCACAAGTGACGAGAGAGCAAGGAGCTGTTTCCTGGCCAATCAGGAAACCGGGCAGCGTGTAATGATTCGCTGCCCGGCTTCCTGATGCAGGAAGTACTCGTGCTAGGTATCGGAGCATTTGGGCGAGTACGAGTACTCACCCAAATACTCGGTATCGGCACCGATACCGATACTAGTATCGGTATCGGTGCATCCCTACCTAGTATGCTTCACTTAAGGTATTACTTAAGCAAGGGCAGGGTACCTAAAGGACCAACAAGACAGACAACGAACATAAAGCAAAGGACTATGCCTTTACACAATTCAACAAGACAACATAACATCTGTAGGTATACATAATTACTCCAACCCGTCTGACTTCCCATTCCCACTCCGACAACCACTAATGCCTATAGATCACTTTAGCGTTCTAAAAAGATAGTGTTTCATGACATCCAGCTATTTGGTCAGATTGGGCTGGAACCCCCACCCCATTTTCCCCTCTCATGCTGGTATCGATCTTATATAAGCCATCCATGAATCCCAGGTAAGTTCAAACTGTCCCACTTTATCCAGGAGAATACTCTCTAGCTTTTCATGAGTGATAATCCAGCTTTAATTTGTAATCCTTACCTGTCTTAAGGACACCCTGGATGTCTACCAGGCCTTGGCAATGGCTATTTTAGCTGCCAGCAACATAAAAGCTATCAGTCTCTTGCAATGTCTAGAGGTTCCAGGAATAGTGTCATTAAGTAGGACACACCCAGGGTCCCTAGGGACTCGTAACCTTAAATATTAAGTTAAAGATTTTTCTCCAAAATCCACAGATACAAGGGCATGACCACCATATATGGTACATGGTGCCCTCGAGCCCACATTCCCGGAAACATAAAGATGGTGCTTACGGGTACATGCGGGCAATTCTGGAGGTCACACCAGGTACCACTTGGAGAAGACCTTAAAATTAGCCTCCACCAATGACACGTTTAGCAGACCCCTAGTTGTTACCCTAGAACGACGACTCCATACCTCCTCAGAAACCACCGCATTCATATCCTGTTCCATAGCAACATGTATGGCTGTTTAGGGGAGGATTCTAGCAGCATAGAATAGAGAAGGGAAATAGCCCCTCTCTGATTTGTAGACTGAAGGCACCATTGGTCATAAGGACTAAGGCGACTGCCAGAGTCGCTCCGTACTAATATAGTACTCAAAAAGTGAGTATTCTGATAGTACCGAAACAACTCTGACAGAGGCATGCCTAAGTGCTCCCTACAATATTCCAAAGTCAGAGGTTTCCCCATCTTGAAGTATTGACCAATTCTATATAATCCCTTGTCCAGCCACCAATAAAATGATTTGGGATGGGTACCAGGCTTGAATGCCGGGTTCTGATATAGTGGAGCAAGGGGAGTGTGGGGTGAGCTAATGCTTCCATAAGTTTTTACCCGATCCCAAAGGACCAAGGAGTTGGAGAGGGTGGGAGCCATAATGGATGGGTGTAGTCTTGAGGGTAACCATTTCAGTAGATACAATGGCATTTCTTTAGCCGCCCTTGATTCCATCTGGACCCGGTCCGGGGATTCTTCCCTGGAATAGATAACAGATAACTGAGCTATACGTGCGGCTTGATAATAAAGGTGTATGTTTGGGACCCCTTACCCTCCCGTCTCTCTAGTGCTGTAAAGCGTGCTCCTAGGTAACTGGTGGCCTTTACTTCCCCATATAAATTTCACTATCTTGGATTGGAAAGAGGCTAGTTCTGATCTGGGGACAGGGATAGGGAGAGAATTGGTGCAAGGTTTATTCCCCAGTATAGGTCATTATGTTGCATAGTATGAAGCACTATATGATGGTGCATGCACGTCACATACATATGACTGGCTGAAAAAGTCTCTGCTGTTCCTTATGTGGTATCCTGAGAGGCAGCAGACACAACAGCTTCTGGGGTCCACCAATGTGCTTCATGCAGCTTTAGTTCTAACTTATTGTGTGTACTTTAAATATACCAAGTTTGAGTGAGAGATGGTGTTAAGTTTTTAACTGTTTCTTTGAAAAATAATTCTTATATATTTGATTTTGCAGATGCCCAAAGGTTCGGATAACACTTGGGCCCAGAAATTATACAATACCCACCTCAAGACCTGCTCTTTGTTTGAAAAACCACGTTTGTCTAACGTAGCTTTTATTATCAAGCACTTTGCAGATAAGGTAAAAGTAACTATATTTTACTGTCTAGTTAGTTTCATATCTTTATACTTTGCTGGTGGCCACTTTCATGAGGATAATGCTCCCTGCCACACTGCAGAAAAGGTTTGAGAATAGTTTGAGGAACACAACAACGGATCCAAAATGTTGACTTGGCCAACAAATACTCCTGATCTCAATCCAATTGTGGGTTGTGCTGGAAAAACAAGTCCCATCCATGGAGGCCCCACCTTGTTAATTACAGGACTTAAAGGATCTGCTATTGATGTTTTGGTGCCAAATACTTTAGCATACCTTCAGAGGTCTAGTAGAGTCCATACCGCGACGGGTCAGGGCTGTTTTAGCGGCAAAATGGGACCTACTCAATATTACGCAGAGGGGCATAATGTTATGGTTGATTGGTGTAAATCTAGTCTAAGTGGTGGATCAATTGTACTTTGCATTAGATACAGGATTTCTCCTTATCTTTCCTTCTGCCCCACAAGCAGACTGTCACAAGCTCTATCTAGTGGCAAGATGGATCTGCGTCCCATTCAAGCCCTTACAATGACAGCTGAGCTGCAAAGTGGTTGCACTGCATTTTTGTGCTTTAGAGAGTGATGGGCTAAGGGGAACATTTAAGAAATGTGTACAATGTTTAACATGTACATGAAGAATTTGACTCTTTGCAAACACTTTTTTTTTTCAAAGATAAAACCGATTAGAGCTAAATATAACATAGTGAAGTTTGATAGTATGATTAGCTGATCCCCTAAACCAGACACTTATCATACTTTGTCTGACCAATGGGAGCCATGCTATGCCTCTACCCTTCCCAACCCCTGACAGCTATGGCATGCAGAGATAACAGACAGCTTACTTGCAACTCCTAATGTTTTTTTTTTTTGCATGAATGTTTTGGACTTCAAAAATACCATTATATGGGGCTGCATTTTGTGGCCAGATAATAAGTAGTGTTTAGCAGAGTTATACTTTATTGTGTAATTTGTTAACTATGAATCTCCATCAGGTTGAATATCAGTGTGAAGGCTTTCTTGAAAAGAACAAAGATACAGTGTTTGAAGAGCAAGTTAAAGTATTGAAAGCTAGTAAGGTTGGTAAAGCATAATTATATTGAACCTATATAGACATGTCATTGTTCCAGAAATATCGATTTTCATATTCTGAATCTTCTGTTTAGATGTATCTTTATCATGACATCACTCATTAAACGTGATACATTCACACAGTCTCTCTTTATAGCATGCTAATTCATCACTGAGAAGTATATATCTTTTACATCATCTCAACCAACCAACTGTATGTTCCTGTACATATTATTCTGTGTGAATATCAGTCTGAGGCCTTGAAAGCTACCATCATGTGATGTGATGCTTCTCCTCAGAGGTAGAGTAGGCCCTCTTGTGGGCCACATAATCTCTTGTGAGGCCTTTATAAAATGTGTTTCCTTAACTAACTTATTTAGGTAATAGCAGATGTGTACAAAACTTTCAAGCAATCAAGTCATGATTCTATTAGGATAATTACCAATTAGTAGTATGCACCTATTATACAAAATATGTATCAGTTAGCACTTTGATATGTGCGTTTTCTGAGTAGTATGAGGAAACTTGCAGTTTCTAAGATGCCAGTTAGAGAACAAATTGCATGTACCTTGGTTCAAAACAAAGACTTCACTCCAGGACTGTTAAATGTGCCAAGGGGCACACTTGAAAATATTGACATTTCTAACATAGGTGAACATAATCTGAAAAGTGTGTATGCAAGTAAGAGCTCCCCGTGGAGATAAACAGACATTTATAAGGTTGTTGCTGAACTCCAGCAAAGAACAGCTTCCACAATTTCCACAGAATCGAATTGGCACCTCTGGAGTAAAAAAAAAACGAAAAACATTCTGCCGAACGTATAGCTGGGCTAATGCCATTTGCACAGCACTAGCACCTCTAGATGGCCACCTAGGAGTGCTAGTGCTGTGTGAACAGTGTCTGTCTAGCTATATGCATTGTGTAACATTTATAAATGAACCCCTGTGTCTTTTACTGTCTCGCGAATGTGAATGAACCCAAAAGTATCTGCAACCTTTTTGTAAACATTCATTAATTATTTGTTTGTACATTTCGCTAATATTTTATGTTTGAACCATCAGCTGATTACATTGTATTTTCTTCTTTTTTTTTTTAATTTTTATTCCATGTGTTTGATACACATTCATCAGAAGGTAATCTTTCATGAAGCATCCTGGGTTATTTAGTGACACTACTATTGCTTTAAACTGCTTTACGTTTTTTTGCGTGGGAGAAGGGTGGCTGCTTGCAGTGGTTTATTAACAGACAGTGGTCCAGTTTCTAGGGGCATGTGCACCACACTCTTTAGTTTAGAGATTGAAAAAGCTACATGAGTCCTTTCAGTTCCACTTTCCAGCTGAGTGTCTATGCTAGGTTTAGTATCTGGGACACAAAGAGTAGACAGGATTCCCATCAGGATCCCTTGCATGTGTATATTAAGAGTAATCAAATACTTATTCTGCTTGTTATATACAGGAGAACATAGAGAGCACCATTTTAAAGGACTGAGATCATGAAAAATATTGGATACAGATAACAGTATGGGGTTAATACATCACATGATAGTGTTTAGTATAGGAATGGAGTGAAATGTTGGCCTATGACCTGATTATTTACAGTAGTATTCTAACCTTTTTATTTTATAAGTGAGACAAACTAAACCAAGGTGATTTGTTATTCTTTCTTTGCTTTTACTCGAACTGCATGTGAGTATGCTTCTTCTGGAGTCTATTTAAGTTATTCATAACCTTATTTAAACATTGCAATTATCTTTGTTATGCACTTTTTTTTACTGATCTTTTTGGGGCAAAAGTAGACAGGTAATCACTAATATGTTACTAAATTAATGTAACAGTGTTTCAGTACATCTGTTTGGGGATAGTCATTTTTAGTTTTGTATTTTTTAGTTTAAATTGCTGACTGAACTGTTCCAAGATGATGGGCGGGCCACAAGCCCTGCATCAGTAACGCCCGCAGGACGCACTCTGTTATCTCGAACAGGCCTGCGCAAACCAAAGCCTGACCAAACAAGCAAGGAGCATAAGAAAACGGTTGGCCATCAGGTAAACTTAAAAGATAATTTTTGCAAGCGGCTTTTCTGCTAAAGTTTCTTTCTGTGAACTGTGTAAGGGTATATTAACAAAGAAGGCACACGTAAGGTTTTTTATTGAGGCAGCACTCCTAAAGAAGGAGACAGTTAGTCATTGCAATACTGTGTACTCATGTATATTTATTGCATTGCATTTATTGTATGCTTGCTACCTGGCCTGAGCGGAGTGTTCTATTAATGGATAAAATTGAAGTTTAGTACTCTGGGGGTTAACACCAACAACTATCAGTTGTTTCCGCTCACCTGCCCCTTCCTAACTCTTTCTCAGTTCATAGAGTTCTTACTATTATTGTTCCACAATGCAGTGCTCTCTGTGAGTGGAGGAGGAACAGATGAATGACAGGATCTGCACTGCCCATTCACAGAGTGCGTTGCATTGAGGACAGTAACAGTATGAGCTCTAGGAATGGAGCGGGGGGCAGAACGAGAGAGTGGTGCAACTCTACCGATCTCACTGAATTCAACTGATAATCACTGGTGCTAACCCAAAGAGCACCGGAAGATACAGTAGATGCTCTGGGGGGTATCCGGTGGCATGACAGCAGCCTGGAGGAGGTGGGATACATATAATTGCAAGAAAGCTAATGTGATTGGTGCTGTATCCTGAAAAAATAAATTCCCTAGGCTCAGGTTAGGGGGCGAGCAAAAAATAACTTTAGCTCTAAATCTGTGTCTTTTACCCTATCACATTTCTTAATACATCACATTTGTAGTGATGTCATGGTGCATACTATATTATGTAATATAATTGCATATTAAATAACAGACCGTGGAGCCAGCCAATGTTGGTGACTTAATCACTTTTGTTTTTAGCAGCAGCATAATGCCTCTACTAATATTTAAATCTGTAATATTTTTTAAAATTGTATTTCCACCTTTTGTAGTCAATTCTAAGAAAACCCCTCTATATGTTTGTTATATTTTCCCTTTCACACAACATTATGAAAAATAATAATTTCTTACTTTTAACATGTTTTGTGTGATCACGCAAAATCGCTGCATCCAAGCTTTTTCTGAGGACCTTTCAGTGGTCTGTCCTTATAGAAAGACTGAAATTTGAGGATTATGTTTCTGTCATTAACTCTATTAACATACAATGCACAATCCTTTAACCTTTTGTTAGCACAGGCAGTGTTCAAATCTACTTTACAAATCATGATTAAATGAGCCAGCGCAGTACAGACAGGGTTAAATGTCTCCTAACACTACAAAGAAGGAGCAAGTTGAAAGTTTAACCTTTAGGTCTCGTTCACACCTAGGCGTATTGCATATGCGCATCTGTCGCGCGACCATCGCGCGTTTCCGAAGGCTACTTGGCTGTATCCCAATGGAAACGCGCAACAAAACGGCCCAAAGTAGTACATGTACCTTTTCAGGCGTGGGCCGTTTTGTAGCGCGTTAGGGACAGGCGGAAATATGCCAAGGTGGGAACGAGACCATTGAATACAATGGGATTTATATTTTTGAGCGTTCGTCAAGCGTAGAACGCGCTACAAAACGTTCAGGTGTGGACGAGATCTTAAGAAGCCAAGTAGTGTATTTCCACTTTTGCAGTCAAATTTGTGAAACCCCCACTATCTTTCTGTACCTATGCACACAGAATACCAAAAAATAATTTACAAAAATGTTTTCTTACTTTTTTAGATGTTTTGTTGCAGCAGGTAACATGGCGTTTTCCAGGTTTTTCTGAGCTCCTTCACAGTGCCGTCCCCATAGAAAGACTTAGGACTGAATTTTCATGATTGTGTTTCTCTCGTTAAACGTTATTATCATACATTGGAGAAGCTTCCCACCCCTCGCAACAATCAATATTACAAAATACATTTTAACCCTTAAAAATCCAAGAAACCCTAACCCCAGTTAAAAAAAAATTTAAACTTCAAGAAGCATTTTTCAATATTTGTTTAGCTTATGCTATGTAAATGGAAATATGTAACACATATAAAATAGGTGTTATCCCAATTTGGCTTTCAAAGTGGAAATACACTTTAAGCATTCAACACTTCTGGAAGTGTCAGGTGTCTGTGTCCTCCTGCTGTAGGCTGTAGTTCAATCTTCTAACCCCTAACTTACTGAAACTTACCTTAATGAGGGATCAATGATGGAGAGACACATGTCTGGTTCAGACAGTAAGGTGAGTTTTAGCCTTTTTTGTCATTGGCATCTGAATCGTGCTTCTAATGTTGAATGTATGAGTGCCAGCTCCTGAAGTTTTTGTTTGGTAGCCTAATTTCATGTTTGCTCAGCTGTAGTTGATATACTCAGTTATGAGTTATGGGGTTCTGCATTTTTTATTTATTTTTCCATTTTTAGCTTATGCTATGTGAATGGGAATATGTAACAAATATAAAATAGGTGTTATCCCAATTTGGCTGCGGAAATGGAAATACACTTTAAGCAGTCCAGTCCAGCCTCTCCCTGCAGCATTAGATAATTGCTATAGTGATCCGTCACTAGCTAATTGCAGACAGCAGTAGATTACTATAAGACATGATTGCTGCTTGGGGAGGCTGAAGCAGGTCTTCACTGACCAGGTCCATACCTCCATATGAAGAATAAAAAATAAGAATATTAATACATTTAATAAATAAATGAAAGAAAACTGCATTTATCCTGGGGTCACACCAAATACACTGAAAGTTCTAGGTGACATTTGCATTTACTGTGTAGGAAAGTCGAATGTCATTCAGAATTTGAACACATTTTAGCGCACCCATTATAAATTATAAATGACTTTAATGCAGCACACTGCAACACACCGTATGCTACTGTAACAGTGAGTTGAGGTGTCATTCAAAGCAAATGGGATTACAATGCACACATAGCAGTGCACAGGTTACCATGCGTTGCGTTGCACACAGACATATTTTACCACGTTAAAGCAACACAGTTTTCTGAAAACTAAACTATTGTGTGGCCCTCTGGAGATGGCTGCACTTGAGGCCCCTTATATTCACTAAGTTCACCACCACTGGTCTACACAGGTGCAGGAAATGTTTTTGAAGAAATCAGATTTGATGCTTCATTACTTGGAGAGTTAAACTGGAAATATGAGAACTCTGGGCAACTGCTTAACTTTTCTCTAGGCTTCCTTGCTCCCTCATCCACCTCATGGAAATACAGACATCAGTGTCATCCCTTCCTGGAAACAAGTAGGTAAATCTGTAGGCTTCAGTGACTGCTTTTTATTAAGATCCACCCAATACCTTTGGTCTCGGCCATTGATTTCCTTCTTAGTTTGACATTATTAGTATGTATGTTACAGTATACGATTTGCTATTCATTCTTTTGTGAATCTGTGTTGTCATATTTCAGTTTAGGAATTCTCTGCACCTGCTGATGGAGACACTGAATGCCACAACCCCACATTATGTGCGCTGCATCAAGCCAAATGACTTCAAGTATCCATTTACGTATGTAGATCATATGGGTGTCTGAAACTAACCATTTTTGCAGAACAATGTGACAGTTATTGCATTTATTTATTAACTTTTATTAATCTTCCTGGCGGTAATCCCGAGTGTGGCTCGGGGGTTAATTTTCAGTACCAAAAGCTGTAACCCTGAGCCACACTCGGATTACACTGTACCGTTACTTACCTTGTCCATACGAGCCCCGCTGTGTCCTCCGGGAGATGCCGGCATCCGTCTTCTGGGTTCCGTACCTTGCTAGCGCCCGCATCGCCGGGAGGCGGAACCGGCGGGAAATTCAAAAGTAAAAAATAGAAGAAAAAAAAAATACTAAGATAATCAGACCGCCAGGGAGGTTAATACAGTTTATCTTTTAAAACATACAACATAAACACCACTTACAGGTCCATGGCCCACATCCTCCCTGCCTACCAATCAGGACAGTTATTATTTTAATGAATTGCCTGATTGTTTACCGCAGAAGTATTCGGAGAGTAAAATGTACTCTTCCCAATAGTGCAGGTGTCACATGCCGCCACATAGACCGTAAGCTGAGAAACAGTTTCTCATTGGATTACTGCACAGATGTTGAAGAAATATACAAAGCACGCCAAGATTTAAGTAGGAATAAACATGATTTTGTATTTAGACAGTATTTATCCCTATCTTGATGTTTAGCTTCAAGAAAGATTTACAGGGTTATTCACAAAAGGATGAAGGGTTTGGAGAAAGCAGGAGAAGTGAGCAATCTAGGCCAAAATAGCTGATTTGGAAAAATTCTCCAACTCCGCTCACTTTCCAGTTCAGCAATGTTGTCCTAGATTGTTCACTTCTCCTGCCTTCTCCAAACTCTTCACCCTTTTGTGAATAACCCTGTTAGTATATATAGGTTGGCCCTTTTCCTTTGTCATAATTGTTAACTATAAGCTAAGCGTAACCCACACTTCCCATAGAGGGATGCACGCATAATGGAAAATAGGCATATACATAAATATCCAACATATGTGCATCTGAATTAAAAGGCTGTTTATGAGCCCTGGGATCTCTACTGTCCAATGTTGCCCTTTTTTCTTCACAAATCAGTATTGTTGGCAATATATTGAAAGAAAGCATCAGCAGTTTGTCCTCCTTATTAATTTGTTCCCAGTAAAGGTAAGGCTATAGCAGCTGATTGATGGTTGTCGGTGACTAATAAATATAGTTTATGGCTGTCAGTCTGGTGAGACTATTACACTTCATGGTTTCCAATCTGTTTGCTGAATTTAGATAAACGTATGTCAGGTCTGAATACTGATAACAAAACTCCCCCAAGCACTCAGTCCAAGTAGGCAGAACATGAGACCTGACTACAGTATAAACTGTATGCAATTCAAACTGTGCAGCCATGACAATCAATCTATAACTAGCAGAGAAAAGATGCACATGAGTTAAATGATTCACGGAAAAAAAAAAATATCCGGCACTAATTTCAGCTAGCCTGAAGAGTAACTAAAAACTGTGCACCATTAAATACACGGTTAGAATTTCGAACAAACAACAACTATTTCAGAACGTTCGTTTGACTTTCTCATAGTTGATGGTATAAAATTGATGATCGAATTTCTACCGCAGTGATGAAAAAATTTGAAGGCGCATGTTGGAAAACTTTTCTCAATCAAACTAAATTCTGTGGTTTTCGTTCAGGGAACTCCATTCATTCCAAAATTGAATGTTTAATGAAAATCAAAGAAGATCTCAAACGACAATCGCCAAGTCTCTGATGGCATTATCGAACATTCCAATGGGATTTTTTGTACTAATGTTCGTTCGAAAATCTACCTGTGTATACCCTACGTTAGTACAGTTGTCCTTTAATTAATGCCACTATCCCCCTGAGTGCAGTCTGCCTTGTAAAGTACTTGCCTTCATTTTCCTTCCAGTGATATCTGCTTTGTTACCCTGTCCAAGATCTCGTAGACTTTCCACTGAATATATTTAATCTGCGCATGTGCTGAAAGAAGAGGACCAGACATGGATGTTTTCAGTGGAAAGGCCCCGTGGCACATTAATTATTGTATTTAAATAATTAAATACAATACATTGTACTGTATTTAAATTTTAATTTCTTACTATAGAAGTTTAGTCTGAAATCCAAAGCCCAGGCAGCAGGATGCAGAGAAGAACCTCCTCTGAAGAGAAGTGATTCAGCACTGCAGTCGTGACAAGGCAGGGGCATGTCAGACTGCTCTGTTCATTCACACAGAGAGTAGCAGTCCTGCTCTGCTGCCTGTGCCTTGGATTTTTAGCTGGGACTGAAAAGCAATTGAGCTACCCTCCAGTGCCATCACGCAGAGGTGCTGCAGGGTGCATTGTGGTAGGGCAGCCTAATAATTTAAATGGGCTGCCTACCGCAGCTAAATCACACTGCAAAAAGTGCAAGCACCTCTTATTTTATTTTTTTAATCACATTGCACCATATAGCTTGGTAATAGGTTACCATGTGCAGTGATACAACACACGTGATGACTAGGTGCGTTTGGGTGCCTTTAAGAAATAGTGGCACCACAGCGCATCTTGCATTGCTACATGTGGGATTGCAGCTCATAGATGTCAAGGGAGCCTAAGGCATTTAACTTTGCATTTTGCTCACTATTTGCTTACCTTTAGTTTTTTCAAACTTCATTTGGCCTTAAACAACAGAGAATGTTTTTGCATATATATTCGAAACCATACAGCCCTGCCAAGGGACTGCTGCAATGTGTGGCCCCCACTAGAGTTGATAACATTAGGACCAGGCTTACTGTTGAGGTAACCCCATCCTCCTTAAAGGGACAACAGCACAGGCTCTCCCAAGGTAGCTGAACACCTCTAGTGGGTGTCTGCTCTACTGCAAACACTACACACCAGAAAATAGCAGCTTTCCAGTGTATAGCTTTCCAGTGTATAACTTAATTAAGGTAGGCAGAATAAATCTAAACTGTCTACAGGGCCTTATAGCTTTTGTTTGATGCATTTGGATATGTTAGAGGTCTCACTGCTGCACCAAGGCACCACATAAATGTTTGGTCCTATTCTAACTTTTATGAACGCCCACACTGGGTCATCCATAGCTATGAATACACGGAGAGCAGGCTTACATGAATGAAGCTGCGCTGCAAAGTGTCTGTGTCATATAGCATCTTCGCAGATCCCTCAAGATATTATATGACTGCACATATTAACTGATTTGAACACTAATGCATTCTACAAGATATGACCTACTTTCTACTGTTTTTGCCTTGGTGAATTCAGGGAAAACATAAAAAACAGATAATGTCATTTGTGTGCTTCAGGCATTTGTTCTTCTGGTGTGGGTGTATGGGATGCTATGATTGTTCTGGTTCTGTTTTTATAAGGTTTGACTCTAAACGGGCAGTTCAGCAGCTGCGGGCTTGCGGTGTATTAGAAACCATACGGATTAGTGCTACTGGATTCCCCTCCAGGTAGGCTGCTGAATTTTTGTTAGCTTCATGTTTTTGATTAGTTTATGGAGTCGCATTTAGGAAGTAACACAGCCTCTTCCCTACCATCCTAGGTGGACGTACCAAGAATTTTTCAGCCGATACAGGGTTCTGATGAAACAGAAAGACATCCTTAGTGACCGAAGACAAACCTGCAAGAATGTTCTGGAGAATCTCATTTTGGTTTGTTTTTATTCAATTTTTTAATCCTATTACTGTAAAGTATAGTTTTTATTGCTTTGAAGGGCAATATATAAAATGTGTTTGTATTTTTCTTTAAAAATAATTACATTATTTTTGCATGCAACTGGAGCAAGTACCCATTTTTATAATCGGCTTCCTGTCCTCTGCACAGCTGCAATCAGGCTGGGAGAGGGAGGGGAAGTACTAGAGCTGCATGCACATGTGCTGAGAGGGGGAGAGAGCAGAGTTGATGCCTTAACAGTGTTTTGCTGCTCTTTTTTTTTCTCCACATTTAGCAGGCTGGGATGAGAGACCTGACACCACTGTATTCGATTACTCATAGAAAGTGGTGTCATCCTCTTGTCTGTTATTTTCCTGAGATTTATGAATGATAAAATGGCTAAACAGAATTACAAACCCATTGTCAGATAAGACCCGTGTACATGTGTATTTCTTCAGCTGTACGTCTGGGTCTTGGCTTTAAAACATTTGGGGACAAATTAAATTAAATTCTGGAGTAATTAGATTATCACTGCATTATACTTGTCCTCATGGGGCCTGTTGGTGTCACTGGAACACAGAATTCACCCACATTTTTTTCCTTTCTTTACTTTTGGATGTGCTGGCTTACTGCTCAACTCAGCTATAATATTCCCATCAGGCTGATATGTCCATTAATGCTATACTTACCCCATGTCTGTGGGTGGACTGTGCTTGCTTTTAAGGGGCATTTGCCTACCATGCTAGTACTAATAAGATATGCAGGACTGGTGGTTCTGAGTTGAGATACTTCAAAATTCAAAAATCTGTAAGAGCAGAACCTGCAGTCAGTGACGGATGCAGAGCATTATATAGCTACCTGTTCAGTGTTGAGAACTGCAATCAAAGTATCTGGCAAAGGTAAGTATTCCAGCAACAACTTGCTTTGTGGCACTGAGGTGACCTTTTTACCAAATGCTGAGAGATGCAAAGGAAGCTGATGCTGTAAAATGTACAAAGACGTGTCACAAGAAGACAAGTCCTTTATGAACTTAGTCTGCATGAAAGCTAACCATGCAGACTAAATGATTGGTGGGCGTGGGGAGAGGTTCCCCACGCCCACCAATCATTTAGTCTGCATGGTTAGCTTTTTATGGTATTCTTACTTTAGCCCACAGAAATCTGTCCTTACCATCATAGGTCTACTTCATTGCACTTTCCATCCAGGCCAAAGGTTCCCAGTCCTTCTTTGGCTATACCCCTACAAACAAAGATCAGCGCTACATGCTGCAGTGTCATAAGTCATTTTGGGTAAATGTTCTGATGAAAGCTGAACATCAGTCAAACAGCTAAATGCATATATGGGAGCTATTTTATGCCAAAGAATTTGTAGTTCTGTCTTTTCAGTTCTGAAATTCACACAGCCCTGCCTCATCACACCACCCAGCCCACTCTTGGTTGCAGCCACCTTGTGACTAGACGGTGAAAGAAGAAGTACTGTAGCAGGTGGATGAGCTCATCTCTCTGTCACATTGATTTCTCCTCGAAATGAAGCACAACTGAGCGGCTCCTTTTGGTGCTTCTCCCTCCTCAAGTCTCAGCTCTGCTGTAGAGGGACTGCAAGTGGCTGATACGACAATGCCTGCATTCTGGTCCAGTGCGTGCCCCCTCCCCCTGAACGCAGGGGGGAGTTTAGCATATGATACAGTGCGTTCCAGCAGCAAACGGTGCTGGAGTGCACTATAATTGGTGTGAACAAGCCCTTAAAGAATACAGAGCTGCATTAATATCGTGTATTTTATATCTGCCTTCAGATTTAAATAACAATTACCTTTTCTGTACAGAGTGAAAATAGTTAGCAAATGATTGGGTCATTGTAATTACAGAATTATATCTCAGCATCACGCAGAGCGTTAGATTGATAATTAATTGCGGATTTGGGCTAGAAAATGCGATCAATTACAGTTAACCACCCACTATTTTCTGTACGATGAATGTAGCCAAAATAAACTGAGATAATATATATGCAACAATGTATTATTTTATAAAAATTCTTAATATATGGAGCATTTTAATGTAAGGATACCAAAATATATTTTAAAGTGCTGTGTACACATGATTTATTGACTTCATTTAAACATAGGGTTGAAAAAATCTGTTCATTCATTATTTGATTTTAATATTTTAATTATGTAACATTTGTGTGTGTGTATTTCTGTATAGCATATAGACCCAGTTGCATTCTCTTGCTATGTTTCCTTTCAACCAGTTGCTTGCCAGATACATGATATCAATGGTACATTTTCTGCCTTCTCTAAAATTAGGACCAAGACAAATACCAGTTTGGTAAGACAAAGATTTTTTTCCGTGCTGGACAAGTGGCCTATCTGGAGAAAATAAGAGCAGACAAGTTAAGGATGGCCTGCATTCGAATCCAGAAAACAATTCGTGGCTGGCTATTGAGGAAGAAATATTTGAGAATGAGAAAGGCAGCTATAAACATTCAAAGATATGTCAGAGGCTACCAGGCAAGATGGTGAGGACATAGATTGTTATTGCTGGTTTAATTACTAATGATAATGTCATTTTTACATTACTTTTCACCTCTTGTATTTGAAAATGTAACAGATTTTTGCAAGTGTACACAAAAAAGTATATGTCCACATTTCATGCATCATTCTTTGATTATCAAGCAGTTTATATCCGATCATTAATACTAATCTACTTTATAAAGCCTTGCCCAGTTCCTACGCAGAACCAGAGCAGCAATTATCATACAGAAGTTCCAGAGGATGTATGTGGTCCGGAAAAGATATCATCATATACAGTCAGTTACACTTTCTCTTCAGACTTACCTCCGGGGTTACGCAGCCAGGAAAAGGTTCCAAGAGGTAAGTAGAGCCATCAAGACATTGATTAAGCTATTCAAGTCATAAAGAAATTGTATTTTTTTTGATTTAGCTACACTATGTGATGTTTGAGATCAGGCAATAGATCACAATGGCCAACAAATACTAGTTATGCAATATAGAAATCACTATAAAGATTCTGACTCTGAAGTATTTATTCAGAAACGCCACACAAAGTAAAGTAATAGACAAAATACCACCAACATAATATAAAACTCAAAAATTTGTACAAAGCTCACAGCTTAAAGAATCAGAACATAATGACTCTTACTGTATGTGTCACGTATATGTTTCTTTATCAATATGTTTCTTCAACTTTTAGCTGCTCAGGATACACAAGGCTACCATCATTCAGAAGCATGTCCGTGGCTGGCTAGCTCGGGTGTCTTACAAGAGGAGCATGCAAGCCATTGTCTACCTTCAATGCTGCTACCGCAGGATGATGGCCAGGAGGGAGCTGAAGAAACTGAAAATCGAGGCACGCTCTGTCGAACACTACAAAAAACTCAACTTTGGCATGGAGAACAAAATCATGCAACTGCAGCGTAAAGTTGATGAGCAGGTACATGTACTGAGTTAATTGTTTGGGTTTGAGCATCGTCTGACCTTTCTCCCCTGCTTATCAATTCAGTCCAGTTTTGCTAGAGATGTTCTTCTGCATATATGTAATAATTCATATTGTGTGCAGACCAAGGAGAACAAATCCTTGCTGGAGAGACTGACCCACCTAGAGATCACCTCCAACACGGAGAAAGATAAGTTGCGTCATGATGTGGACCGCCTTAAACAGTTTGAAGAAGAGGCAAAAAATTCTTCTAACCGGTTGATTACTCTGCAAGATGAACTTGCCCGGCTTAGGAAGGAGTTGCAGCAGACACAGACTGAAAAAAAGACAATTGAAGAAAATGCAAATAAATACAGGACGGAAACTGAGAAGGTAGGTTTCAGTCATAATCTATGGATATCATCTATGACGTGTCTGGCGACTAATCACAGTCTCCTTCTACTGTTGCCTTGTTTTGAAAAGGAAGACTCTTTTTAGCTTATTGGGTAAAATCACAGACATTCCTTCAGACACGTGGGGCTGATTTATAAATCTTCTGCCCAGCCTATAGCTGGGGGAATGCCGTTTGTGCGGCAAAACAGAGAAACAAAATGGTTCCCAGAGGTATGATTTGTGCTGCTGCATGGACTGATTTGAATCTTCCAGCTTCTGCCAAATGTAAGAATTTAGGCTTCTCAAGCTTTCAGCGCTCTTTGGTCTTTTGTAGTCCTACACAGGTCTGGAGTTTAACACCTATTGTTTACATAGTTTGATCCTTTGTAAATGCACATCACATAACAGTGAGAAGCCCTTTAGCTAGTAGACACTATGATCCTTTTATTACTATGTTTTTTTCTTTTAATAAAAGATCATTTGTTTTTGCACCCACTTGACGTCACATTGGCAGATCCATTGACCGCGAGCAGAAAAAAGTTGCAGTAATAACTGTTTATTAAAGCCCACCCCTTACATAAACTCATACAATGGAAAAACTGTTAATTTCAAAAATATACTTTTTTTTTTTTTTAATGTTCCAAGGAAATGTGGTTAATAATTATAACCCCATATTCAATGCTACATCTACAGGTCACTTAGGATTGTAGTTCAGCAGCAGTCCTTACCTTTGAAGCTTGATGGTCCAGTGTAGACCTCTTTGTTGTCTAGTAGCCTACATTGGTACACTGTTCCCATTTGTCCGCGAATATTTTGACAGCTAAACCCAATAGACTGTTACCAGCATTGGAAGAACCAGGGTGTTTTATAGTTGTAGCATAAAGCATGCCCTCTTTTGTTTTACAGCTGGTTTCTGAGCTGAAAGAGCAGAATGCACTATTGAAAACAGAGAAGGACAGGCTGAACATCCTAATCCAAGAGCAGGCTAAGAAGATGACAGGTATGTACTAAGAGCATGCTAGCAGCGCTTAGAATTCTTAACTGCAATTGAAGAAATATATAAATAAATTTCATAACGTGTAGAAGGAAAATGGATTTTATCTGTAATCCCTAAATGTACTTTTTTATGGAATGATTTGGCATGATTTGCGATCAATCTTGTTCTTTTTCTGCACGGTAGAGGATATGGAGAAAAAACTATTGCAAGAAACAAAGGAACTGGAGCTTGAGCTGAATGATGAAAGGTCGAGGTATCAGAATCTGCTTACCGAGTTCAGTCGTTTGGAGGAGCGATATGATGACTTAAGGGAGGAAATGAGCATCATGGTGGGTTCAAGTAAAATTGGGAAACAAAAAGGTATCTTGGGAGTATCTTTGTGTACCAGGCTAATGTAACCAATGTTTCAGACCATTCCAAAACCAGGACGTAAGAGGACTGACTCCACCCACAGCAGCAACGAATCAGAGTATACCTTCAGTTCAGAAGTTACAGAATCAGAAGACCTACCTTTCCGGATTGAGGTAAGACTGAAGTCCAACAAATAAGGTGAACCTAAAGTTTTTTCCCCCTAATGTAACATTTTTAAGTATTTTTCATTTTTTCGTGTTAAATATCAGCTGTGTTTGGACACACTTCTTCACCAAGTCACACTGGAGCCTTTTTAATCCCTTGGGATTTACTTTTGAAAAAAAATCTGCTGGAGTTTTTATTGCAGGGACCAAAGAGCCACTGCTGTCTCAGTGTGCTTCAAGCAGATTTTTTAGTGAGATGTTTTTCAATTATTTATCATTTTTATGGCGGATCCATGAAATGGCAATTACTGCCCGCGGAAAGGCCAAATTCTTCTTCTTTTGAAATGGCGTGTTACGGCAACGCCACAGGATTTTTTAACAACCTACACACGCAGAACTTCATTTTCAATATCAAGTGACATTATCATATAATCTGTTATGTCCAAGGATCAATGGAAATTATAGAGTGGGTCTGTTTTGCCATTAGTGTTAGTCATCCAGTTTTTACTTATGCATGATAACCCTTAGGGTTTCAGCATTATTTATTTACACAAACATGAATGAACACATTGTAGCGTTTACAGTGTTTGTTATTTGTGATTATTTTTAACAATTGCTGTGCTGCTTTGTAGGGTCTTGGAATAGTGGTTGTCCTAGGGTTCACTATCCCTGCTACTATGATCAATTTTTAGATGTTTAACAGCAAAAATATGTTAAAAGGAACTTTACCCTTATCTTTAAAATTACAACAAAGGCACCTTTATAAATGTTTAATGACAATCTACAGACATAATTACATATATAATTGCCAGCTTTTTATTCTTTGCATACCTTTATTTTTCTTTTCCTTCTTATTCTTCTTACAATGGCCATTTTTACAAAAGCAGATGAAGCTATCTCCCTTTACTTCCTGGAACTCTGACACATGTGACTATGCACATCATCATTTCGGGGAAAAATGTATTTCCCTGAGATCTCATGAGATTTTGCAGTTTACAGATGAGGTTTCTCAGCAATGCAGAATGTAAGATGATTTTATATGCAGAGCTGAACGCTGGTGTGATTTTTAGTGAAAGGAGGTAAAGGTCCACTTTTAAGGGTGTTGTGCCGCTGAGCTTACCATTAATTATTTATTACGGGTATTTATATAGCGCTGACAATTTATGCAGCGCTTAACACAGTACACATTCACATCAGTCCCTGCCCTTCAAGGCACTTACAATCTAAGGTCCCTATCTCACCTGCATGCTTATAGGACCAATTTAGACAGAAGCCAATTAACTTACCCAGAGCAAACACAGGGAGATCATGCAAACTCCTTGCAGATATTGACCTGGCCGGGCCAGGAACCAGAAACCCCCAGTGCTGCAATGCCCGGCGAGGTCTAGTACACCACTGTGCTGCCCATTATGAAGATAATGACATTATGCTTGATTATTATCTTGACTAACTGAATGTGTCCTGTGTCCATTGTGTCATTTCTGGATATTTTTAGGAACCAGTTGATAAGAAGGCTCCTCTGGATATGTCCCTATTCCTCAAGCTGCAGAAACGCGTGAAAGAACTGGAACATGAAAAACAAATTTTACAAGATGACTTGGACAAAAAGGAAGAACAGCTCCACAAAGCCAAAAATCAGGTATGATCTCCCAAATTGCTGGAGCATTACTAATTTATGGATAGCTCAGTACCCCCCAGAGAAATTCTTAGACTTTCTGTGTTTAAACAAAATGAGCTGGAGTTTATTATAGTGATTTTTTTTTTTGTTTTTTGTTTCTTAAAGGGTAACAAAACCCAAGTACAAAAATTAAATATATTTCAGATTACCAGTCCTTAGTTTAGTTTTATTTTTTCCAAACTAAGAACATTTTAAACAAGTACAGAAAATACCTGTTGATCTTGGCAGAAATGCACTTGCAGTAAGCTGACCGGAAAGCATATAAAACTACGCTATTTATTTTGTGTAACCTCTAAACTTATCACTGTTTTGTTTTTGTGCCTTGGGACTTGTTGGCTTGTTTTGTACAGCAGAAAAAAGATATAAAAACAAACAATACTTATACTTATAAAATACTTATAAAATACTTATAACACCGATGTAATGAAGTTAAACAAAGGCATACATGTCTGCGTTTCAGCCTGGATGACAACCATAGCTGGCGCCATAGATACAGTGTAGGAGTGAACGTAGCCACCCGGGGCAGGAAATGTGCAGGATTATCTAGATAAAATCAAGGGAAACAAGCCTAAAAAGAACACAGAGACAGCCACCTCATCGAAGGACTGTTGAGCTGTAATATATGCCATTGTTTTTGGGTTTAGATGCACTGTAAAAAAATTCCATATTGTTGAATCTTTAAGACCTGAACTTCAAAAAATAAAACAAAAGCTAATGCACTTTTGACATAAAAAATGACATAACTGTGTAGCAAGATACCTTCTTCATTTGTATATGCTTCAGTCTAACAGTGCAGCCATAGATGAGCTTCTACTCTAGCCATGTAAAGTCACCTGAATAAGATGACATTTCCCAAGTGTGCTGCAGAATGAGTTTTCATAAATGTTTTGTCAAACCTAATAAATTCAGATTCATATTTTGAATCTTCACATGTGTGTTTTTTTCAGGAGGAGGCAAGGCCACCAATTCGAGGGACAGAACTAGAATACGAATCTCTCAAGGTAATCTAAAAATAATTAATTAAAGCAATGCATCCGTCTTAAACTGTGGGTGAGTTAATTTGACCTACTATCAATCATAGAATGGATTAGCAAGTGAACCCTTCTACTTTTTTGTTATCAAAGCAAAGCAAGTTTTTTTGTTGTTTTTTTTACCTTGACCAGCATTTAGTCATATTGGTTCACCAGAAAGCAGTTTAGCACACATAAATCACTTCAGTTCTTTGTGCTTTTGTCTTTATTTCTATATTAAGACATTTAGATGTTGACATTCTAATGTCTCTTTTAGCGTCAAGAACTGGAATCTGAAAACAAGAAGCTGAAAAATGAGTTAAATGAGCTCAGGAGAGCTGTCACAGAGAAGGCCTCCCCAGATTCTGCAGGACGCGGGGGTCCAGTCTATAGGGTGCTGTTGGAACAGATGACTTCAGTCAGCGAGGAGCTGGAAGTCAGAAAAGAAGAAGTACTTATTCTGAGATCGCAGCTAGTGAGCCAAATGGAAGCCATTCCACACAAGGTGACACACTAACTTTCTAAGTTAAGCATAGTTCAGTTTAGGCTGATGAATGTCAGGAAGCATTCATGAACAAATCATTTTCTGTTAGTTGGCCAGCTTTATATGGCCAATATGGTGACTGTATTTCTGGCTAGATTTAAACATAACAGTGGAAAATCCCAAGCAACTGACAACATATCTGTAGACAATCAGATCTTCTAGATTGATGCAGTTTCTAAAAGATCACTTCATCATTTGAGTCATTTCATCACAGAATGATCAGATTAGGGCACTCACTGTCCCCTTCAGCAACAGACCCAAGTATTCCTTTAAAACACAAGTCAGTAAATCATTATCAGCAATATTATATTTGAGACTGGGAAACTGAAAAAGTACAAGTAAAGATTTTCTATGGTTTCCAAAACCTGCTTATCCTTATAAACAGCAATAATATTAAAGTGTAAACCCAAGAGTTTTTTTCAGCTTTGGAAAGAGTAGGAAAGGGTTAAAACTTCTGTCAGATTTTTCCTTTGGAAAGATGTCCTCTTTCACTACAGAGGGAAAGCCTCTCTAAAATAAGTGTCCCCATTAGATGATTTCCTTTCTATTCATGTTTGACAGCAACTCAACATTTTGGATTTTCCTTCACTTTCAGTCCCAGTAACATTGGTCACAAGGATGAATAAAGTAGGGACAGAAACAGCAACACATGTCAAACAGGGATGCCTATACTTCTCTATTCCAAAACCTTAAAAATGGACAAGATACACTTTAGGAATTTGAACTTTACTATGCACAGTTTTATAGTTTTTAGTACTATCTTATGGGCAGGGCTGGCTGTTTGGCAGCTGTTCTCTTAGGATGCACTTGCTTTTTTTTAGGTATTACCCCTTAACCACTGAGAAATATATAGTCACAAAGGTAAAAACAATCCATATAATATGGGACAACAAAGTACACAGCTGCTACTGTTCACATTTCCTTACAAAGTTTTTCAGAGGAAGAGTAGTACAATGTTAGTACATTATACAATGTTCTTCCGGAAAAGGCATGACTGATTTTACTTTTTTTTTTTTCTTTTGCTCAACAATTTTGTGGTAATAAAGGATGATAAGGTAACAATCAATCCTGTTGCTAGCTTAGCTTTATGCATGCAGTGCAATAACCTATTGTGCTTTTATTGAACCGCAAACCCAAGCTACATTAACAAGTTATTATCATTTGCTGCATACCCTGCAATTGATTTTAGGCTAAGCATCCATAGAATAATGTCCTTGATTCATTTGTGTGCTGCTGACTCCTGTGCTTTTTGTGCTTCTGTAATACATTTGGGGTGTGAAACTTAAGGACATGACTGACAAACTGGTTATTTTCTACTTAAATTTGATGTAATAATCCCTCTCCTTTTAGTTGGTTATGCTGACAAATGTGCATTACATATGTTTAATAATTCTAGATTCTCACTTCCCCTATTTATAATAAATATATTGGTGCACCTCATCGTTTTTCCTGTTAGATCTGTGGCCCCACAAGGTCGTCTTTGATCGGATAGAGCCCAGCCATGGAAAGGCTTTGTATCTATTACCAATGTATTGGCTTTCTTATGGATCTTTATTGCACAAAATACTGGGACATAGGTCGCTATAGGAATGTGCGGGAGGTAGGAAGGGGGCAGGCAAGTTTTAGCATCTCAAGAAGTGCCCGAGTTTTGCCTGTCAAAAGGGCCCAGCTTTCAGCTGTTACATGAAGATTTTGGAGGTATATGACATGCCTTCTCTGGAACTAGTTATCAGGCTTTCCAGAGACTACGGGAATTATTTTTATCTAGATTGTAGTGTTGTTATTGATTTTTGCAACGAAGTTACAGACATGTTCATAAGTTATCACCAAATTAATGGTAGAACTTAATATTTAAATAATCAAGGGTTAATAGAATTGAAAGGAAGTTGAAATAAATATCTAAACATTTAAGTGGGATGCAGGTAAGCCATCTGTATCTGAATATTTGATTTGGCGATAGTGAATCACACAAAGATAAGAATTTTGGAACTACTTCTGTTTTAATGCCTTATTTATTGTACTTGTGTTCTGCTTTGGTATGTTGTTACTCCTTTAATTTTTTATATACATAACAGGAAACCCATATGGAATAGTAAAATAATACTTTACCCTTATAAGGGTATTATTATGTAAACAGATGCTCAAGCTAGCCATACACTGTTCGAATTTGGAGTCCTGCTGATTGGGCTTCAAATCATGCAGTGTGTGGCCCCTTCCGTGCCTCTCCGTTCAAAAAAAGTCTATTTTTTTGATCAGTCAAAGGAACTGGTCTGAAAAGTCTCAGATCAGCTGTAGCCATTGTGAGCCTAAGTAAGATGGTGATCTAGGTTTTTGGTCTGAGTCCGCTAATCATAGATAAAGCCCCTAAATAAATAAAATCTATTCTAGATCTTGTTTCAATATACAAATATTGACATTTTGCTTTGATTTAGAACACAATGACTGACACATTGCCCATCTCTGAGGATGTTCAGAAGATGAAAGACCGAAGGGAAATTGCACAGGCTTATACAGGAATGAAAGAAACCAACAGGTATGTTATACTGGTATTAACCTCTGTAAATTACAGTAGGAGCCTGCATGGAACTGCACGTGGGTCAGTACAACCTGCTCATTTGTTCCGAAGATTCGGTTTTCAGAATTTATGTTTGCAGTCTTCTTTTACAGCTGTCAAAAGAGAGCTTCCGCATTAATAGAAAGTTCTAGGATCTGTCATATTAGAAAGATAATTTCCCATAAGCAATTTCGCATGTTAAGTAGAAACCAAACCCAAATTCCGAATTGCTTTATGAGAACTAGCCATTTACCTGAATTATTTTCTTTATCCTGCTTGATGTCAGCTCCTCATTGCAGGTTAATCACGGCTTTCAAACCCACTGCAGGACTCTATATGTAGTTTATGTACGGGTCCTGGCTCAGTCCGGGGACTAATGTTAGTTTCGCACTAGACATTGTGTGACATTGTCTTATTATAATACCATTATATGTCCTTTTAAAGTATGCCTGTCATGAGAGAAACATGGTGGCACCATCACTGAACTCTGTCAGCAAATGTTAGATATTTGGCTTTGATGCTGGCCCTTTCAGTACTTTAAATCATTGACCTGGAACAAGTATGCGGATAAGAAGTTTTGATGTTTTTGATCTGCATCCTTCTTCCAGGTCAGAGACTCGGAAAGTATGGAAGCCAGAGGGTCAGCATAACTACCAGACAAGTAGCATTTTTACAGGTCAGCAGCGGCAGCTACTGTATTTCTGTCATAACTGGTTGACCTGAAGCCCATCAGCAAACAAAACTCCCAACCCTCTCTGACTTCCTATTCAGTTTTTTTCTGTTATTATTTTAAATACTTTTTAAAGTTTTGTTTTACTCACCTAAGTCCGCCATCTGGTTCCTGGGATTCTGGTTGTGGGTGCACTGGCAGTTCATCAGTGCAAACATGCCTGTGCTGTCTGGTCCCCTATAACTACCATCATTGCTGCAGAATTCTCTACTAGATCCTGAGAGGACCCCTCCAATGTGTCCACGTCATGCTGGCAATGACATGGACACATGAAGACGGACCCGCCCGCTGTACACAGAAGAAGAAAGAAGATTTGGGAGCAGAATGTCATGTGGCCACAGATTTAGTGGAAATAATGGGGCATTTAGGTAGGTTTTTTTTATGTTCGTGATTATTAAAAGAGGGTGGTTGGAAGGGGGAGTTGTTAGTGGCTAAAGAGTAGCCTTAAATATCCTTACTCTTTCATTATCTAAGATCAGTAGTTTTTTAAAAATGATGAAAATTATGTACTGCCAGGTCCCTGCCTGTCTAAGCTGTGAGTCTGTATGGAGACTGACATTCTCAATAAGCTACATTTAAGTTACAGTAAAATGTAGTATCTCTCATTCATTTCCAAGACAATGTTCTATCTAGTGACACTATCTAACCTTGGGTATTTTTGGGTTAAGTAAATGTGTTAATGAAAGTGTCATTTGTTGGTGGATTTTGATTAAAGCTTTTATGGGTTGCCCAAAGGAATGTCGTTTAAACCGCACGTCAAGTCCAACAACCTTGCAAGTGAAAAAGAAAATCCCTTTTTTGTTATGTCGCATTAAATAAATACAGTTGAAAAATCACCTTAATTTCACCAGTAAATAAAATGTCATTATAAATGGGACAAATAAAGGAAAACATTTTCACTTTTCAATTCCAAAGTATTTTTTATTGGTTTTACATAGCGTAGCTGAGATAACAACAATTCAGGTCAAGCTGTCATAAGTAATATACAGTCAAGAAGCAGAATCTAGACATTACATGGAGAACTCGTTATTTGATACACAAAGCGCCTCCTCGCAGGGAAGCAAGGCAGTTATCCATAGTAGGTAAATAAGCTATCTCAAGGAGCTGTTACTCCAAAGTCCAGCCCTGGACCACAAGGGGACCCATCCTGGCTACCATCTCTGTGCTCCAAGGCCGAAAGCATCGCCAAACTTTAATATAACAATAGTTATTAAGAATAGGGGGGAACAGGGGATATTAGGGTCACAGAAGGCAGGGGGAAGGGGGGGTAGGAAGGGGAATTGCACCAGGGATTCCGATAGTCCTATAAGTATGTGAGACTCTCCAAAGGAAGCTCAGGGTGTTCATGAGCAATCCAAGGGGCCCAGACCTTTTGGAAATTCTTTTGGTTATCATCTACGGTAATAAACCCACACTGGTTAAACTAGAAAATAGGTTTGCTTTTTACCTTGGGTTTGCCTTAAGAATATGTAGAAAAATAAAATAGGTTTTGAGAATCCTTCAAAAAAAAGCCTTGTTTCCCCCCCCAAAAAAAACAATACATGAATTACTTTGATATAAGCAACGGCAGTTGTAGCTGAATCAATAGGCCCATTGCAGTATGTAAACATTCTCCTATTAGGGATATACTGACACAGGAGCTGGTTAATATATGGTCATATGGAAATGCAACTGCAAATTTCACATTTACTTGTAAGCCACCATGTTCTGAGTTTTTACCTCTAGGATATGTTCCTGAATGTTTTTTTTAAGAGGCATTTCTTCACATTGTTAATGCATTCTTTTGTCCCGATTTGTATACTAGTTTTAGCAAATCTAAGAAGTCATGTGCAGGTGGAACTGCCAAGCCTTAAGTTTAAACTTTAGAGAAAAATGCACAGGAACTATTCTGCCACCCTGCTCCACATAGTCCAACATTGGAACGTGTTATCACCATGTCATAAACCACCTGTCATAAAGCTTGAATATCCTGTTATTTGGGTATTTTGATTTATCAAGTAAAAGCTGCAAGGGATATTCTTGTATCAACACATGCTTACAATTGAATTCCTGCATTTTTAAAGAGACCGCTCAAACTAAATGTTAGTGGCCCAGTTTAGAAAAAAATTCTCCTGCCAGGTATTTGTAGTCTAACATACTCCAATGAGCATAGCCTCTATATGTTTTCAGGGTCTGAATATCCTCATTACTTTCATGATTTGTAAGAATCTTATTTACCATCTGCACTTTTTCACTTTAACATTCAATATGTAAAAAATAAAGTAAGGTCTTGTTTTATTGTCTGGTATGTTCCCACTGGTTGGCTGCCTAATGCAGCACTTTATCAGCATTTTATATGGTAAGTAAAGATTATGAGCTACAAAAGTTTTTTTTTTTTTTTTTTACCACATTTCCTTACATGCAACCTGGAAGTATAGAGGACATGGGATGTGTTTTGTATGTTTTCCCAATATGAGTCTTGCTGACAACAACAGCTATTGGAAAATTGGCTACATCTTAGGGTCAGAGTGTTGACATTTCACATCCATTTTTGGCTATTGTATATTTGTTTTAGAAGGTTTGCATGGTATAGGGAATTTCTAAATGTACCACTGTAGCAATGTAGTCTAGTTCAGTAGGTGTTGGATGGGGATTCCCTACCTTCATGAACATATTTAATTAGTACATCAGTATGTTCTAGACAAAAAAAACAAAAACTATATGCTCCAAAACGGAGAGGGGTCTTACCCCCAACCCCTACTCCTGTACAAAACTAACATAACACTGTTTGGCTTTGCAAACATTTTAAATGGCTTCTTTTGTTGGTGCAATAAAGGCAAATATTATTTGGACTCCATTTTACCTTTTAGCCATCACAAATACCATAAATAATGCATCACCTTAAAAAGATGGCTGTCATAATTGTAACGATTTACTGAATGGATATCTTGTACAATAAAAAAAGACTAAGGTCCAGAAGATTTACTAGATGTGGTAGCTTGAAGGATTTTAAATTACTACTGTCTCTTAATTAATGAGGATCAAATAAGTCAGAACTTTAATGTTGTGTTGTTAACAATTGTATTCCACAGTTCTCTTAGTCCATTCTTGCTCTTTATGCTTTGTTTTGTGTCAGTTTGTTTCATTGTCACATTTTTATTTGCCTTAAAGTAAAACCAGTCATGAGAATAATACAGAGACTACCATTGCTGACCTCCTTCTGGAAATGCTAATGGATTGGCTTCCTCTAGTTTAAATTATTCCTCTACAACAACTGTTCAACAAGTAGCTAGTATTAGTTGCTTTCAGCTGGACTGTAATGTTGAAGATGTTTCATAGCTTATCCAATCCACTTCTTCAGTTCTGATAAGTGTGAGAAAAATACACCAGCATATACACCGATCAGCCATAACATTATGACCACTGAGAGGTGAAGTGAATAACATAGATTGTCTAGTTACAATGGCACCTGGAAGTGGGTGGGATTTATTAGGCAGCAACTGAACATTTTGTCTCTGAAGTTTATATGTTGGAAGCACAAAAAATGGTCAAGCGGGAAGAACTTGAGCATCTTTGACAAGGGCCAAATTGTGATGGCTAGACTGATTGGGTCAGAGCAACTCCAAAACTGCAGCTCTTGTTGGATGTTTCCCGTCTGCAGTGGTCAGGACCTACCAAAAGTGGTCCAAGGAAGGAAAACTAGTGAAACGACAACAGGGTCATAGGTGACCAAGGCTCATTGATGCACGTGGGGAGCAATGGAGGCCCCATCTCACAACTTACAAAACTTTATGGATCTACTGATGGCTTTGTGCCAGATACCACAGCATACCTTCAGAGGTCTAGTGGACTCCATGCCTTGATGGGTCAGGGCTGTTTTGGCGGCAAAAGGGGTACCTACTCAGTATTAGGTAGGTGGTCATAATGTTATGGCTTATCGGTGTATATCCACACAGGTACCACAGACAACTTAATCCAATCACCATAGAAAGGCTGATGTTGATTGTTGAAAAACATACCTTACTGTGGTGATTGTAGATGTTTGTGCTACCTGTTAGCAAAATACCTCCCCCAGCATGTATATCCAAAAACTCATCGGAACTGGAACAACAGAAGTGGCTTGGATAAGCTAAAAAACATTTTCTACATTACTGAACAGTCAGCCAGTCAGTAACATTTTAAGAGGGAGAACAGTAACAGCAGTCTCTGTGCTTCTCTCTTGAAGGGTTTACATAATGTTTCCCTTTGTTTTTCCATCAATCCACTTTTCAGTTTTGCTTTTCTTTCTTTTTCCCCTTTTTTAAAAATAATTTTTTGAAAGAACCCCACCTCAAGACTTCCAAATGCTGAATGAGGACGGAGAGCTCTGGCTGGTGTATGAAGGGTTAAAACAGGCCAACAGGTTACCTAATTTCTCACTCTGGGAATTTGTGGTCTGCATTTTGCCTATTACTAACAATGGCCAGAGATTAAACCATGCACTCATCTCTTATGGATTGCGGACTATGCTGGCAGAAATGGTCACATTAGCTCATATGGTGTGCCTGATTTCTTTATGCAGTATACATACTATTTAATGGGTGACCTGAACCTACTGTTAAATCTTCATGGTACTGCATTAGAAAACAATTCCATGAAGTTTTTCATCTCTTCATGCCTAAAGATGTTGCTAAAGTTCAGCTGTTCTATTAAAAATATCCTCAAATAAAGTTTATTAGTGATCATTTATAACATCAGTCTGTGCAGGTTTAACAGTTCACTGTGGTGTCTTTTTCCAGTACTTAAAAGTATAAGTCCACTTTTTCTCAGCATCTTTATCAACAATTGATATTTAAAAGCAGTGCACTAATCTATTTATTTTGTAAGATGTATCTGCCCATTATGTTCCATTATGCCTTGCCAGACTGTATCAGTATCCATCAAGCAGGCTAAATAATATATCCTGTTTTACTAGACAGAGTTAGTTATCTATGGAAACATTCCATTGTGAGTTGTAGTAAAGTTGACCATTGATTGCAAAATATCTTCCCAAGAATTATGGTCAAGAATAGCTCTTCTCATTTTCAAACAAGTTGTCAGAGTGCCATCAGCCTATGTTTAGTACTTCCCTCTATTTTTCTATAGAGAAGAGAGAAAGATTGGACCCACTTAGGCCCCTTTCACATGGTCCAATCAGGAAAGGATCCGTGCACAAATCCTCTGCTGATCGGAACAGATGTCACCGTTGTGGCATCCGTGTCTGCCCAGTTTTTTCCTCCATCTTACGATGGAGTTAAAAAACTGAAATTACTGGACCCATGTTGGTCTATGGGGAATTGGATGTAAATGGACTTCTACATCAGATTACCCCCATTCTGGCACAATCAGGTCCAGCTAAACTGAACTCTGATCCATTTCTTTTTCCAGCTCTGGCTGCAGCCCGGGCTAACCGGATGTAAAAGGACACATCCGGCTGCCCATAGACTAACATTGGGCTTCCAATCGGGTCCACCTGCAAAACTGACAGATGGACCTGATCGGAAAGCCTGTGTGAAAGGGCTCTTATAGAAGGATTCTACAACAAAATCGTAAATCTTTTTTTGTTTTAGTGAGTGCCTCTGTCAGCTGAAGGTGCCTATTATCACCTGATATGAGGTTAGAAACTGCCCTCTTTGTGCATGCCATGCATAAATTCAGGATTTTCACTTAATACTGGGCTACTTGTTGCTATAGTGAATGTAAATAGAGTACTGACCTGATAATATCTGATTGTTGAAAGTGGGAAAATAAGTGGACTTATACTCTTGCTTAAGTGTGGTTGGGTTTTCTTGAAAGCATGTTACCAAGCTGTCTACATTTTTACAAGGGTGCCTGCATGTTTTTTTCTTTACATAAGCTATATCTTATTTTGCTATATCTATAAGGAATACTGTAGAAGCCTTACCTATTTGAAGCTTTGCATCTTGTGAGTGGGCTAACATAAATACATTAGGAATGATGCTTAAAAGCTGTAGAAAGTTATTGCCTACAGTAAACGTGCTGCTATTGTTGCTTTGCGTTCTATAAACACTTGTAATTCAACTCAACTATTCTTCCTAACAAAAATGATTTGCTTTCTGTTTACTTAAAATTATTTCTTATTTGAGCAGGCTGCTTATATACCTTTATCAGTAATAAAAATAATTGAAAGTACTTGTGCTGAGGTTTATGAGAGTAAAATGCTATGATGAGTTACCTTGTAGAGTGGAACCTGAAAACTGGGGCGCTCTATTATACAAATACCAACTTCAACTTAAATATTGGTAATTTGTCCTTTCATCTTTCACACCTCACAATATGGGTCATTCATTGGCATAACTTCCATCATCTAAACCACTTCTTGGCTTTGGCAAAATAAAAGGAATGATATACTTTTTTTGAATCCTTAATTAAGATCTTTAAAGAGCTTTATTAAACAAAAATCAAAACATACAGAGCTAAGACATGATAAGGCAATCTGACCAGTTTTGTGCACAATTAAACACAGGGGAAAAGATCAGCATACCAAGTGCCTAGCTTGATAAGCTTTAACTTCTGAACTCAGAGGTTTGTATTTGTTTATAACCAAGCAACACGGTGCTTAAAGACATACTCCAGAAGAGAAATTTAGAGAAAGTTTATATGCGAGTGTTTGATTCTAATTCCTGATGCAAATTTACTTAAAGTGGAAGTTCATCCTAGAATACCTCTATGAATAACAAATGCATAGCACCAAGTTTGACTTCTGCCTGTGCTCTGGTGGTCCGGAAGTCAACATTAGAAAACTGCAGACTATTACCAGCAGCACCCTTTGGGTGTTTGTTTCTAGTTTCTGATGCCAATTTACTTTTTTATAGTGGAACTTCATGCTAGAATATTAACAGCCATATAACACATGTACCCTGATAAATGCATAGCATCATGTTTGACTCGGCTATTACCAGCAGCACCATGCATTCCTGGTGTTCCTCAGCCCACCTCATGTGGTCTACATCTTTGACAGCATCAGCTTCTCCCAGTCAGGCTTTGCAATCACAAGATTTAGATAGCATGGCAGGGGTGGGGAGGAAGAGAGGCTAAGCAACACCATCAGTTGCATGGTGTTGCTGGTAATAGCCAGCAGTTTCCAGTGCTGATTGATGGACAGCCAGAGCACAGACAGAAGTCAAACATGAGGCTATATATTTATTGAGGTACATGTGTTATATGGCAGTTTAATGTTCATTTAGTAATTCTAGGTCCAACTTTCACTCAATTGCATCAACATTAAATTTATAGGTTGTGACCTGCCAGCAACCCCTCTACGTTACCATGTTCCTGTGCAACTGTAACACAGTGATGCCACATCACCATATCTGTAAAAATCGTGGAAAGCTCCAGCAAAAACAAAATAAGACACAATGGCAGTTTACCCAGCAGAGGTTGTTTCCTCTGTTTGTTATTTGTATGTGACCTTGGATGCTTATGTCCCATACATAATTCACTCCACATTTTGTCCCCAAAGAAGCTCACAGTCTAATGCCCTTACACCAACCAAAAAGATACATGCACTAGGGTAAATATGATAGGAAGCAAACTAACCTACTAATATGTGTGAGCATACAATCCCATGTATGTGCACAGGTTAGAAATCATTGTCCTGGATTTTTTTTTTAACCAGTCCTGTTTGAAAACTGGCACTACTTGTAGGGCACATTGGTTTTATAATGTGTGCTGTCTTGGTGAATGGGGATAATGCTATTCTGCTGCTTTAGTTTCTTACAGAGGAAAAGCCTAGAGATGTATAGTAAATACAGACATTGTGCACTGTTTTGTTTTTTTTAGAGTCCTAGAGTCACAACTCCAGTCTCAGAAGAAGAGCTATGAGAATGAGTTGGAAAGTCTCAAGGGAGACGTCCAGGGTCTACGGGAAGAAAACAACCGGCAGCAACAACTACTTGCCCAGAACCTACAGCTGCCCCCCGAGGCTCGAATTGAAGCCAGCTTACAACATGAGATCACCCGACTAACCAATGAGAATCTGGTAAGTAGGGAACTCACAGGAGGTCTCTCCAAATGTATTGCTTCAAAGTTGTGTTTAATTGTATCAATTGTTTGCAACTCAAGGCTGCCTATTCATTTCATATGCTGTCTACATAGGAACAGCAGTTAACAAAGCATTTCCTTTGTATTTTCTCTATTGAAGTAGAATTGGAAGGTTTGTATTTTCAAGCAGTATATTCTTGAAGGATATATTATGATTATAGACACACTTTTGCTCTCAAACCTGAGAAACCATCACTATATGTTTTATACGCATTTTCATTTACACAGCATACCTAAAAATATTTTTCTAAAAAATATTTCTTACTTTTCTAGTTTTTTTTCTTAGGAGGCTTATACCTATAGGTTTATAGGACACTACAGGCGGCTTCTATTACTAACAATAGATGACAATGTGGAGATAAGGGAAAGGCTGAGGGGCACACTTTAAAATTGCATTAACATACAGTGTAGCACCCAAGCCTTGAGATCTGTAACCCTTTGTTAGGACAGACAATCCTGCACATCTAGTTTACAACTGATAATGGAGATCTGCCCGCACAGTACAGCCAAAGTTAATAGTGGCAAACATTTACTCCCCAGCCACCTCCTTAACATTACATAGTAGGGGAAGCTAATTAAGATTGGTCAGCAAGTAAACAGGTACGCAGCAATTTGTAAATATAATGGGACCATGTAACAAATATAAAGGTAGAGATTAATGAGGATAGGTTATAGTGTGGAGGCATGGACTTTCATATTGTATTTACATTCCCTGAAATTGATATAGAGTGTTGAAGACTCCCGTCCATGTAACAAATTGCACAACTTGCGACAGATTGAGGTCGGTAACGTGTGTATGAATCGCTGGCAGAATTGCCTCAGATAGAATTTTGTCTGTGGCACAATAGTTACATATGCAACACAATTTACTCCAACATGGAAAAGGTCTTATTTACCTTCATAACGCCATGTCGCAAATGCTTTCTTGAATCTCCACTTGTTTTCCCGGTAAAAAGCCCCTGTATATATTGTTTTTATTGTTGTCTTTTCCTCCATTGTAGACCTCTTCCTACTCCAATGACTTAATGTACAGTGAAGGGAAATCTCCCTTCCTTCTCAAACAGTCAGGAAAAAAAGAGTTTTCCTAGATTTATCTATCGGCTTTGCCTACTTTAAAATCCAATCCATGAACAAACTTTAGATGACACTTTATTTTTTGTTTTGGGCAGCCGCTCAGCTCTTGCTGCTGTTAACTCTTTGCTCTAGGTTTGGTAAATGTATGTCTTCTATTAGACCAACCCCATTTAACATAGCTGTTCATGAGGAGAGCATTAGTGTAACTCCTTTTGGTAATCTATAGGGATGCACCGATACTGAGTATTTGACTTCGCCCACAAGCTCAGAAACCTTCCCCTAAACTGGAACTTCTGGTCAGCGGATTTCCTTTGACCGGCGGTGCCGTAGGGGAACATGGAGCCGGCTTCCCAGGCAATTAGGAAGCCATGTGACGAGTAATGACCCGGCTTCCTGATTGGCTGGGAAGCCGACTCCTTGCTGATTGGCTAAGAACCCAGCTTCCCGACCATTCAGCATTGAGCCAGCCAAACAGCCAATAACGAAGCCGGGAGGCCGGTCATTACTCGCCGCCCGGTTTCCTGATTGGCTGGGAAGCCGTCTCGATGCTGATTGGCTGGGAAGAAGGTTTCCCGGCCAATCACAATTGAGCCAGCCAAACAACATGGAGCCTTGCTTCCCGGGCAATCAGGAAGCCAGGCAGCATGTCATTATCCGCTGCCCAGCTTCCTGATTGCCCTGGAAGCCGACTCCATGACAGAGGAAGTATTTGTACTCGGTATTGGTGAGTACCGACAGCAAAATATCAGTACTCGATACCGGAAAAACCAGTATCGGTGCATCCCTAGTGATCTGTATCTGTTTTTAGATGCACCATGGACAGACGGCAATAAAAACTAAAACATTTTTTTCTAGATTAGTAATATTATTGTGTTCAATGTAAGATCATGCTTTTATCCAATTTACCATGGCTCTATTGTTAAGATATGTCATTATTGGTCATTGTTAACCTGAGCAAATTAGCCAATCATGTGAAATTTGAAATGAAAAGGTACATGCATTCTACCTGTTTTTTCAGTATTTTGAGGAGTTATATGCAGATGATCCCATGAAGTATCAATCGTACCGGATTTCACTTTACAGACGAATCATTGTATGTAAATCATGCATCTGCCTGCACTTCTGTCCTCGCCATGTCCTCAAGAACTAACAGAGATTCAGCCTGTCTGGCTATCTGATGCTGTTATTATGACAAGGCTGCATTGTGTCCCTTACCATCACGGCTTTCAGTGTCATTGTGTCCTGTCTTCATGTTTAGCACAAGAGCACAGTTTCTTACTAACCGCATCTGTAGGCAAAATGATTCTAACCACAACCCAATGAAATTCTCTGACTAAATGTAATTTTTGACCCCCATTGTATATTGTACAGGACTTTTATGTGCGTTCCTGTGCAGGTTGAGTGCCATAAGGATTTGCTTTTCCCTACTGACAGATATGGTTTGTCAGCTATGGGATATCGCTAATCTTGCCCCATCTGCCTTGACCCTTTTCTTTCTTTATAATTTGATCATAGTCCTATCATTTGCCATTACCATACAGCAGACAGAATCATATATTTTCTTTAAGTTTCTCTGATTTCAAGTGCAATCCAGTTTATTTATATACATTTTGTGAATATCATCAGATACAACCCTGTCCATCTTGCTGATACCATTAATACTGATTGATTCTCAGTCCTATAGCCTACCTGTGCAACTGAATGTGTCAGTAAATGAGGGGAATGCTGGAACTATTACTTAAAGGATATACCGTATAGAGGGGAATTACCTAAGACTGGAGCTGCTGTATGTGACAACCAATCAACTTTTAGCTTACAAACCGTCTGAACAAGGAAGGATAGACTCTGAATGTTTGGCATTCACAGCTGCTCCAGATTCTGTCTGCTCCAGTTTTAGTAAATTCCCCACATTGTACTTAAGATTTAGCACAATGACTAAGTCGGAGTAATAAAGGACTATACAAACTAGTAGTCCTATCAATGGAGCCATTTTTTAAACTTTATTTTATTGTTTATCCGATTAACCGATTAATCGAACCTAATAATCGGCTAACTAATCGATTTTGAAAATAATCGTTAGCTGCAGCTCTAACAGTGTGGTATATTCAGGTGGTATACCTCAGAGACGTGCCAAGGTGAGTAACAGAAAGGTGGGCCTTGTATTCCAGACGGTTTTAATAACAACTGTATGTAATACTTAACAGAAGCCAAGCAGAACTGTTAGGGAAATAAGGGGGATTATCTGATTCTGATTGATTTTTGTTGGGCACCTGCGACAGTTTTTATTAAAAGAAAATGCATCTTGTTTTGAATGTTTTCAGAAATAAAAAAAAAAACAGGTAAATGTGAAGTATTACATAATTGAACTAATGCTCACCAATATTTCATATCTATCACTCGCTGCCAATAGGTAGCATGTGTGAGCATACTATGCAGCTTTTCACCAAGTGGATTTATTGCTATGCTGTAAAGTTTGTGTCATGAATTGTAGGAAATGAAATTACACACACAGCTTAGTCCGGAACACACAACTCTGCTGGCAGCTTTTCTATTTAGGCATATGCAGTCAACAAAAAGGCAAACAAAATGTCTTGGATTCACCCCTTTTAAATATTTGTTTGTGAAATGATTGAAATGATCGTTTTTGCAAGTGATGAAATGTGGTTTGTACTCAAAAAATTGTTTAGCAACCACCATCTGTGTGGTCCTCCTGTCTCATACGCCACAGATAATGAAATGGGGATCCAGTCTAGATGGAGAGAGCTCCCAACAGTGGACATTAATACTCCCCCACTGTGGTTTTTTTTTTGTTTTGTTTTTTACCTATTCATTACACTGAATTGCGCACAGCTCTAGATTATGTGTGTAATCATCTTTTATATTCTTGCTTACTGTGTCAGGAAGAAATGATTTGCATGGTTCCTATATAGTTGCTCCCTTCCTTGTTATATTCTGTGTACCCTACACTTTTTAACATATAGTTGCTAGTTCTCCGGGCAGAATTTTACAAACTCTGTTTATGCCATGCAGGACTTTACTATATAGCAATTTTAGTTTGCTTTTTGACTCTAAAACTGTCAGATAAATTACCTCCAGCATGATATATGTACCTGTACAGTCAATTATATTTTCTGACAAATTCAGTGATCTATTGTGCTGCTTCCAAGAAAAGCAGCAGACTATACAAGTCATAAATTAAATGGTTCTAATGACATAAATGAGGATATGTACATTGAGTGGAGAATTCTGCCCAGATGAGCACTGACACTTCTGTACCTGAAGCACAGACGCACATCAGCCACATGGTGGTGCTGTTACTTAGCTGTTTGGTCCTGTTATTCACTAACCTGGCTTGGCAAGTCGAATGCAAAATCTGCCATGTTGTTTAAAAGGGTGTTCTCTATTAAGATAATGTTCATATCTGCAGGATCTAATGGAGCAACTTGAGAAGCAGGATAAGACGGTTAGGAAGCTGAAAAAGCAGCTGAAAGTATTTGCTAAGAAAATTGGGGAGCTGGAAGGTAATTGATATGCCGCACTTGCTATTGTGTCATCCAGTTTAATAATCTGCAACTACTGTTTTCTCGATTTTTAGGAATACTTTCAAATATGTACATTTTTTTTCTGCTCTGACGATCTTCTTATCGAATTGTGCCAACAATTACTGTGGTAAAAATGTCTGTTGAAGCATTTTCCATACGAGCTCAGTGCTGTTACTCAAATCTGGGCCCCCTTTAAGTGGGTGGTGTTGCATTGTAGGATAACCAGATATGAAATCTCATTGGGTCTTGGTGATGCAGGATTTTTAGATTTGGGCTGCATACATTCTCTACTCCACATGTTTTTACCTCTAAATATGAAAATACTGGGCAAGAAATTACTTTTTTATAGGGGATCAGATGAAACTTAAAACTGGGTTCCAGAATAACAAACTATGTTGCATTATGGACAGTGATGTATATTTGGAACATGTGAATACACATTAGCAATCACTTTACCGAGCCAGACTTCTAATCCCAGTTTACAGAATGCTGATTTGGAGAGAAATCATTAAATCATATGTTGAAAAGTCTCCTCAACATGTATTCTTGCTGTTTGAACGTGATATACAAAACAATTCTTTATGGTCCGTTTAGATGCAATGTAGTTTTAAAGGCCAGCTCCAATTTTTTATTTTTGAATAGAGTGAGGAAGTGTCGGGATTTAATTGCCCTATGCGTCTCTCTAGGGAAGATTTCCCTGCACTTCCTGTTGATAGGATCACATAGAAAAAACAGTCATAATTTAAAGTCTTCTCCTATATATCCAAAACTTGAAAACTTAGCTGGGATTAGGCTTTAAAAAGATAACAGACTTGTGGGAAATGTGATTTGCTTGGTAGATTAAGTCAACACTCCTCCCAGTGGAAGTTTGGGATATGGCACAAGAACACAGTCCTCTTCCTGGCATGCTGTATGGTTCTTCTGTTATAAGTGTAATTAGGTTCCTATATAATTACTGTGTTTACATGTTTCCTGTTGTCATTTGTATTCCAGTTGGTCAAATGGAGAATGTGTCTCCTGGTCAAATAGTGGATGAACCTATTCGTCCACTCAATATACCACGTAAGGAGAAAGATTTCCAAGGAATGCTGGATTATAAGAAGGAGGATGAACCAAAGCTGATTAAAAATCTAATACTGGGCAAGTATATGCATATAATGTATTTTTCCTATATACTCTGATCCATAAGCCTGACTATATACCAGCAGATCCAGGCTTTTAGCCTGACCACTTGGTAGGTCAAATGATAGGATACATTTACACATTTATGGAGAAATTTATAGAACTAAGCTGTGTGTTATGCTGGATAAATGGATAATGCAATAAGCTGTGTTTGTGTTGTGGTTTTATGGCAACATACATAGTTAGGTTTGGCCACCGTACATCTATGTATGCCATCTACCATTTCTAAAATTATGTAGACATCATTGACCTGGTATACCATCAATGCCGGATTCCCCCCCTCCCCGCTCCGATACTCCAGCTCTGGCTGGAGGAACGGACGGGGGAGGGGGCGGGTACAGTTGCCTCTGCCTCTAAATAGGCAGAGCCAGCTGTCATTCATGCAGCTGAGTGGATGTCGACGGTAATGTCTGGATCCGTCCCGGATGCGGCGGTCTCAGTATACTGCGAGCTGTAGCTCCCTATATACTGAGCTTTGGGTCACGGGAGGATGCTAGTATATGTCCTCCCGTGACCCTTAAGAGAACTATGGGGAAAAACACTTACTTTATAGTTCTCTTTTAAAACCACACATTTAAATGAAGTAGTGTATAAAATAGGCTTTATGTTGTGGTAAACAGATGGAGATGCCATATGTCCTGATATTGCATACATATAGAAATTAGTTCTAATATGCTAGCTCCCTGGTGCAAATCATGCAGCTGGATCTAAGGCCTGGTTCATACTGCAGCGCACTGCACCACGACATACACGTTTTTATGCATGGAGGCACATTGTGTTAGACAGTCCATTCAAAATGAATAGGCTGTAATGTACATTCAACACACAACTGAGATGTGGCGATAGACTGGGGTGCCAATTAAAATGAGTTGCAAAATGCGTAGTAAGCCATTTTTTTTTATGCAATCCTGCACACCTGAAGGATTGCTTTTTTGTGCACAAAACAGTGATGTGAATGAACCCTAAAGGATCTGTGGCCAGATCTAGTTGATTAGTCTTAGCTTGGGTTCAGATATCAGGCTGCCATGTAGAAAAAGAAGAGTGGTTGTCAACTTACAAGTTGTAGGGGTCCTTACTGTGCCCCCTGATGGCTCCAAAGGTCCTCACACAATAGTCATTATACGACAGTAGACTATCAGAGACTTAAGATGCACTAGAGGAGACAATCAGAGACTGTGGCCATGCAACAGGGGTGGCCGGAAACTAATGACACGGAACTCACAGACAAGAACTTCAATTCTACAATTTTTGTAATGGCTTTGTACTTCTTTACCAGATCTTAAGCCTCGCGGTGTTGCAGTGAACCTTATTCCAGGATTGCCAGCGTATATTTTGTTTATGTGTGTGCGCCATGCCGATTACCTCAATGATGACCAGAAAGTTCGTTCGCTCCTCACATCAACGATTAACGGTATTAAAAAGAACTTGAAGGTGAGTTTTGGGGGTTTTTTAAATTTGTTTTTGTTTTTTTACAAGGTATTTGCAACAACTATTTGTATATAAGAACTGGGTGAGATCTGGGAAAACTATATCAATAAAATGTAACTTAATTTTATCTCCTTTTAAAAATGTTAACGTGTAAAAATATAGCACCATAGCCGTTAAATAGTAAATGTTACTTATTGCATTGAGAGTCTTTGTAATACAATTAAAAGATGATAAATGCAATACAGCGCTCTGGTTAGACCACCTTTCCCACAAAAAATACCTCTGGGCTTAGTCAAACCATTAAGTATTAGAGACCAATATCTTGTATGTTAATCATAGCCCACCGTTTACAAAGACTATATAATATCCGGGAACAAAGTGAAAAAAAAAAATTGCATAACTTTTAGTCCAAAGTGCACCTGTATTGGGAGCCTAAATACCAAAAAATGCATTTAGTATAGTATGTCCGGAGGCACTTACAATGATATTTCTATAAAATAAGTCTGGCACAAGGTATTCCTGCAAAGATTGAATACATGAATTAGGGCTCAAAATCTCCACTCGCCCCTTTGCAATTGGCAAGTGGAAATTAATTCACTGAGTGCCCAACTACTGGAGGAGTTCGATGCGGCTTCCCGTGTGCCGCAGCTCACCCCCATGTGCCTTGCCCATGTTAAAGATGGCGGCATGAGGACAACCATATTTACTAAGGTCCTTAACTTTGCAGACGTACAGTTAAGTTCGCGTTATGAACCTAACGTCCATCTTTAACAGGGAAATGCACACGGGAAGCCCAGGGGAGGGCTAACTAACCGTGCACTAGAGGGACCCTACATATGCAGTGCCAGCAAGTAATTAGACCGGGGGTGCACAGACAGAGATGGGTCTGTGTGCATGTTGTGCCCTGTGTGTGTGTGTGTGTGTGTGTGCATGTTTGTTATGCCCTGTGATTTGTGCTGTCTTTGTATGTTTGTTTGTTATGCCCTATGTGTTGTGCTTTGTGTATAATGCCCAGTACGCTGTGCTGTGTGTATTATGGCCTGTGCGTTGCGCTGTGCGTGCATGTGTTATGCCCCGTTTGTGTTTGTTATGCAGTGTTTGTGTGTGTGTAATGCCCTGTGTGTGATATGCCGTCTGTTGTGCTGTGTGTGTAATGCCTTTTGTTTGTGTGATATGTCGTGTGTTGTGCTGTGTGTGTATGTTATGGAGCGAATTACAGCTGAGTTGATGGAGCTCTGTACTTAAGTATAGGGCTCAATCCATTAGGGTAGAAATCACACCATATTAAGTGTGAGGAGGGCTTGCTTGTGGGCAGGCCACATGGGGCCACATGACTGCCTATTGCCACCTGATACCATAGGCATTGGTGGCTTCTGGATATTAAAAAGATACACCCGGTAACGGGTGTGTTTAATCGTCGGGTCTTTTCTGCCCGTGCGTGCCCGCTAGGGGGCGGGCACGAGCAGAAAATAATTGCCGTCTGGAGACGGCAACCCGCAAATGCAGCAGTGCCGTCTGTCCGTTTTTTTACTACGGGCGGACGGCAAGAGGTTAATGGATGCCTCACATGCAAGGCATCCATTAATACCCATTTCTTTATTTAAATGGTGGAATTAAAGATGGGAGAGGGCGATGTTAAAGGAGGGGAGGCGGGCAGGATAGGATGGGATTGGTTCAAGCAGAGCAACTGGTGGCGAGTAACTTTTAAGGCCTGGCTAGTAGCTCAGGACCTGAAATTGTGAGCCCTGCATGAATAATCTACATAGAAATTTCTCCCACTATACCCTGATTAAGCACTGACATGATAGCCTAACTTCCTATTTGCACATACAATTATAGGTCACCTGAATATAGCAGCATAATTGCTTAATGACATTACAGTAATAACTATTTTCAGGGATTTTCCTTAGACAGTTATCCCAGTTTCTCAAGGTCTTTATCTGTAGATGATTCCTCTGGTGAGACTTCTCACATTATATGCAGAACCGAAGTTGAATGTTTCAGTATTTGTGTTCTTACGGCAATCAGAGACCTCGTATTGCTACAGATAGAATACACATGTGTAATAATTGGGGTATTTTGTCTTTAACCACTGTTTTCCTGCAATGGTACCTCCAAAAGTGGAATACGTCTATCAGACAGCAGCCTCCTGATTTAGACATTGTCAATCCAATAGTAACAGTTACATTGTAATCCACACGATAAGTTAGTGCGTGGAATATCTGATATTCAGCTGCTCTAGTGGTGACCAACTTTGCAGCCTGTGTACATCTTGCAGGCGTGAATGTACATATACCAGCCAATATGAGTAATAACCTCCTAGTATCAGCAGGTTTTGGAAACAGAAGTAACCACCTTAAGGGTGTCCTCGGGTGAACAAACCACCTTGGGGGCGACAAATGTAATAATGACTCAAAGGAAACCCTTGAACTACATTTCTGTGCACCTATTAATCAGATGCAGTCCAAGGAGTCTGTTAATCGATCTTTAAGTAATTCATGATTGATTACCAGCGTCTTTTCATTTATACTATCGTTTTCCCAGGTCTCCTTCAGTTCTCTACTGTTATTTTGCTTGAGTGGGATCTATAGTAGTTTGTATATTAGTAGAGATGCATAGATTCTCTTTGAAGCAGAACTCAGGGGGAAATTATTATTAACCCTTGCAGTGGGGCAAGGGTTAACTGTTCATTTTGGTTTACGGCTGAAAACAACAGTTCTACTCAGCCAATCCTCGGAGCCGGTCAGCGGTGACACAGCTTCCCCCAGCCTGTTTCCTCCTATGCTGCAGCAATAGAATGTCCCTCGGGGTCCTCACGTTCTGTGTATAGAATGTGATGATTTGCGGGACCTTAGACTACTGCAGCGGAGGGAAGAGAGGCTCCAGGGACCAGTCTAAGAGCAAGCCGGTTCAGAGGATCAGGTGAGTATAACTTTGTTATTTTCCTCCTTAGACACAAAGAAGCACTTAACCCTTGTAGTCTGGGGGTAGCCCCACTGCAAATGATTATAATTTTCACCAAAGTTCTTCTTTAAACAAAGCCTTTTGAGGCCAGAAGCCACCATACATGATCTGCGTGTATGGAAAGGCTTCTTCTGATCATCCCTGTACCAGAATGTATATTGCAAGCATGTTTTTTTTTTAAACATTTCCCAACTTCAGCTGTTGGCAGTGCCCACATGATGAGGGCGGTGGGGGGGCGGCTGTGGTGCATTGGCCACAGTTGTATCAGTCCCTCTATTCCAGACACACAACTACTACATTTCTAGCCCAGGAAGTTGTCAGTTTATCTGAGTGATATTGAACGGACAAGACATGTAAAATATGATTAAACAATACAAAATGAACACATGACTATTGTTTAGTAATAGAGCGCACTTGTTTTCCTTCTATCTATCGGATTCTCTTATATCTTATATGGTTGGACTTGATGGACTAATGTCTTTATTCAACCTCAAATACTATGTAACTATGTAACTATATATAACCCAGGATTCCCACAATTTCCAGTTCAATTCAGGTATAAAAATGTGTTAATTATGGGTGAAATAAATAGACTTCTTACTGTTGTCTAAAGGTAGTCTGTACTGTGTAGGTTGTTTTGATCTAAAATGTCAGATACCCCCGTCCACTAAATGGTTAAAGCAGAACCCCGGGGAAATGTTGATATTAACCCATGCAGTTGGCTGCCCACCACACCGCAAGTGTTCATTTTGGTCTAGGGCTGAAATAACCAAAGTTATACTCACCCGATCCTCTGAGCTGGTCGGCTGCGACAGCACTGCCTCCAGCTTGTCTCCGCCTCCACTACAGCGATGGTATGTCCGTTGAGGTCCTAGTGTACAGAAAGTGATGATTTACAGGACTTTAGAGCACTGCAGCAGAGGGGGAGAGAGGCTCCAGGGACCACTTAGACTCCGAGGATTGGGTGAGAATAGCTTTCTTATTTTCCTCCCAAGATCAAATGAGCAGTTAACTCTTGCAGTACGCAGGTAGCCCCACTGCAAGGGTTAATAATAAAAAATGTCCCCAGAGTTCTCCTTTAATGAAATAATTCTGTGTAACAGGTCATTAAACCACAAGATGTGTTAGTGTTCATTGAGCTTATATAAAGCACTAGACTGCGTTGATGATTTACGGTGTATTGCTATAAATCTGTTTTCTTCCTGCGTGCACTGTTTCGTATTGAGCAGGTGCGATCATGTGAACGTGCTATGTGTGATTCATGTTTGAGTGCAGTCTATACTGGCTTTACCAGACTGGACACAGTTCTGAATGTGGCTGCAGGAAGTGATACCAGCTTTGCAGTGACTTGGAGGCCAGTTCCACCTTCTCATTGACTCTTGGAGAAATGACATGTTACGCATGATGGCTTCTTTCCACTACTGAACAATGGGCATGGGTATACAGCGCACGCCTGCCAACACGGCCTTGTCTGAAGTTACTCTGTGCTGTTTAACTCTTGAAGCTACAGTTTAGGGGTTATTACAAACTGGTAGAATGTTCCTTTTAAAGTGTCTATAACGTTATCTATTATACTTCTGTCAGTGTCTGGCTGTGAACACTAAACAGTGCACAAACTAATAGCCGGAATCTCTTCATAAATGCTGTTCTAGGGAAAATGTTTTTGTGAAAAGGGCTGCACTACCATGCTGGGATCTGGGATTCCTGTGACAAAAATTTAGATGCAGCCGCTGTACCCATTGAAGTTAATGAGAGGGTGACAGCAGCTGCATTGGTCTGCGGCAGTCTGTATATAATTGTTCATGGTACGAGTACATGTAGTGTGGAATAGATGATTGTCGCTGGATGTATCTAACCTGCGTCCAGGGGCAATCATCTATCCCGCACTGCATGTACTTATGCCTTGTACAATTACATGTGAACTACCACTGAGTTACACTGATTTGTCTATCTTGTGTGTTGGAGCTTGATGTATTTGTTTGTTTCCCCTGCACAGAAAAGAGGAGATGATTTTGAGACCGTGTCCTTCTGGCTTTCCAACACCTGTCGATTCCTCCATTGCCTGAAGCAGTACAGCGGAGAAGAGGTACGTCATTCCTAAATGCTCTGTCTGCCTCTTGATGCATCATAAAGACTACTATGGTTTAAATAGAGTTATAATTCTGTGACTCCTCCAAACAAAACTCTAAAGGTTATCTACAGTCACCATGTAAATATTTGCTTGCTTAATTCCACCTTTTGCAAAAATGTAATAAATGCACCCACAGTAATAAAAGAAAAAAATGTGCATTTGTTCATTTTTTGCATTGAAGCATGCAAAGCATTGCAGCCGGGATCCGTCGATCACAGATGCAATGCACAGGCTCCTGCAGACTATTTCTCAAGTTTATACAGAGTTATGGGCCTTCAGTTATGGGACCGGAGGAAGTGATCAATGAACTACAAATGTGGTGAGGTAACTGCACTTCTGCTCCATTGAGGTCTACGAGTCCCTCATCTGAATGGGTCTGTGAATGAATGAAAAAATACTGGGGGGGAGAAGAGTCCAGTGATTCAGGACAGGAGAGGAGTGCTTTGAGGGTGCAGGGAGGCTGTGGAATGTAACCATGTTTCATGTTACACCCTAAATATGAGTGTACCATGAAACATGGTCTGAAAAGTTGACATAGTGTGACTAATGTGTAGTGTACAGGCATGTGCAAACAAATTATTTTGAAACTGAATTATATTGACTTGCTTTTGAGCTGAATGCCAGGCAAGTGACTAAATTCACAGTTGAAATATAGATGTGGGTTTTGTTTTCGCTGCTAAAGTATTTGTAAAGTTGTTTTGCCAGTCCTGGAATTTACACAACCCTGCCAGACAGCACAGCACTATATAGCAAAGAGCTAGGTCGCCACTTTGTCCCCAGCCTGTGACTGCATAGTGATGTATCAGCAGACTGATGAGCTCAACTCTTACCACTCTCCTCCTTTCAGCATGTTCCCTGTCAGCACATGCGCATGCACCAGAGCCTGATTGGGTCAGAGTATTGACTCCCTCTCCCAGTCTGGGTGCTGTTGTGTATAAAAGGCTGATATCAAGATGCTTAAATGCTTACATCATTTACATTTAAATTAAAAAATATATTTCAGTAATATTAATAACTATTTGCTCCTACAATGGTTATACCCCTGTCGGTATGTCCAAGGTCATACATGACAATCTTCATAACTACATTTCCTGGCTGAAACATAGCTAAGATGGAATAATGTATGCCAGTTGTTCTGCCTGGTCCTATTAATGACATAAAATATATGTTTTAGAGCTATTTTAGACATTGGGATACAAGTCGCTTGTGCTGGGTACTTTTGGTAATATTTTTAATAAATATATAAATTTAATTTTTTTAAATATTTGCCTCAGTTCAGCATCCTAAAACTGTGCTGTACATAAAGGAATTGTCTGTTTTTATGAAATCAGAAGTTTTGACCTTGTGATCTGTGTTGCAGAGTTACTGTAGGTGAATTGTGATATAAAACCTGTATTTGCTGATATTTAGTTCAGACACATTTTTAGATGTGAGATACCTTTGACAAGTTTGAAGAGATCAGTCCTAATAGGTTGTAACTATATCTGCAGTTCACTTTGTAATTAGTGTAAAGAGATTTCAATACTTTCTAGGAAAATGTGTCAACATTCATTGGAGAGTATTTTCATATACAATAAGATGATAAGTATGTAGCCCTAAAGATTCTCACACTTAGTGGCTGTGTGTAGGAGGATTCTCTGAATCATGCAGCAGTCTCGCTTTCATGCACTCCTTGAATCCAGTCATCCATGCACACTTAGTAATTATGTTCAGAGCAAATAATGGCATCACGGTATATCTGTCCTATATATTCTGAAAGTTGAAATGTAAGATTGTATTTTTAAAGCAGTTGGATCAACATGACTGCCAGGCTACTAGTATTTTCAGTAGAAGATAACAGTAGTGGCGCCCCCCTTTTCTTTCCACTTGCCTTAGTTAGCCTGATACAGACCTAAACTTGTATACTTGCTTATTATGGGCATTGTAACTGAGCTCGATGCTTATGCCTGCACTGGTAAAGAACATGGGGTTGCCGAGGAAAAATATTCTGCTTAATTAATAGAATTTCCCCCCAACAATAATGACTTGGAGTGATTTATTACAGCCTGTCATACCTCATAGAGCAGCAGTGTCCGAATTAAAAGGGCCCAAAACATTTGAATCAACAGATCTAAATATAGAAGCAATGTAAACATTATCTATTTTTATTTTTTTTTAGGACAAACCAGGCTTCCTATTGTTGCTTTTGTCTTGCAAAAATATTGTATCTTCTATGCAATCTAGAGACAAAAGGACATAAAACAAAAAAGATAGAAAGATAGATACAGAAACCCTAATAGCAGTGGGTACTTTACAACACACGCAGGGACCATGGGGAAGAAAGGTAGCCACCCTACAGAAGGTAGGACAGTGTTAGCACAAATTCAGAGATGAGTTGAGGATCTACAGCCGAGTGATAGACAAATAAGATACATTGTTGTTAATAAGGTACTTGAATGCATTTTTTAAGATTTAACTCCTGAGTTTAGTGTCACTTTGAAGGTGTGTGCTATGATGTGATTATTACTTGCTTAATTTCGGACATCCTTAAAGCTGACAAAGCAACTGGATCAATCAATATTTTCTAATATTGTGTCTCTGCAGGCATTTATGAAGCACAACACATCTAGGCAGAATGAACATTGTCTAACAAACTTTGACCTTGCTGAATATAGGCAAGTGCTGAGTGACCTGGCCATCCAGATATATCAGCAGCTTGTCCGAGTGCTGGAAAACTTCTTGCAGCCAATGATTGGTGAGTAATGCAGGATTTATACAGCTCCCAATATCTAACAAATGTCAACCTATCCCTTGAATTGGACATTTCAGTCCAATGATCAAAACAGGTGACAGGACACTAACAGTGTTATTGTACACCTTTACTTATACCGTGTGTGCAATTGGAAAAAGAGACTGGAAAGCTGGCAGACTTGTCCTCTACCCTTCTTACCCACCCAGTGATACATAGATAATGTTCCATTTCTATCTGTCATCCAATGTCTGCATTGAACTGTGCTCTTATGTTTGCTATGTGACAGTATATGGTTATATGAAGTACAACGAATATATATAGCTCATCCTCTTACATTTCCGCCCTGCTTTTTACCAGTTTCCATAATAATATTTTACCATGTAGATTACGTGTTCAAAACACATTTTCCACATCATCCTTTGCTTGGTGTTACTCAACGGTTTTCCTAGCCCTTCATTTGTTTGTGTACTTGCCACAACTAGCCTACGCCATTATACGCTCACCCGAGCTGCACATCCGTGCCAGCGTGGGTGTCCATGCTTGGACGCAGACAGGATCCATCCTGTCTGCGTCCGAGTACGGACACACGCACCCACACGGATGTGCAGCTTGGGTGAGCGTACGGCCGTGTCCTCCCATAGAGAAGAACAGGCTGCTGCGTGCAATCATACGCAGCACCTGTCCTTCCCGGGAATGGCCCGATATGCCGCACGGATCTGTACGACCCCACTCTACACTGTGTGAATGAAGCCTAATGGCTCATTAATTGGTTTCCCTTATTGCTATTTATTTCTGTCAGTTCCAGAATTCATTTGTAAAACCCCCAAGGCCACCTTATTTTTTGGTAACATCATATAATCTAAATAGTTGTTTGCCACCTCTTTTGAAATGTTGATTACATGTTTTTTTTTTCTTTGAACTTAACTTTTTATATTATTTATCAAATAATATTTCAGCTTAGTCTGCTGCTCTGTGGCCATCGTCCGTTCCACAAATCTGGACTCCACTACATACTGCAATATCTAGTAAAAATCAGTCATTATATGGTGGATTGAATTTTGCTTCCAATTCTACTGTATATTTAAATTGCAGTGGGGATTGGACGTCACAGTTTTCTCTTATAAGGTTTTAAATGAAATACTGTTGCTAGCCATTTTTATGCTAAATATTTTTGTGTATGCCGTTTAGTTTCAGGAATGCTGGAGCATGAAACTATTCAGGGTGTCTCAGGGGTGAAGCCTACTGGTCTGCGGAAGAGGACATCCAGTATAGCTGATGAAGGGACATATACATTGGACTCCATAGTTAGGCAGCTAAACACTTTCCACTCCATATTGTGTCAACATGGCATGGATCCAGAACTCATCAAGCAAGTGGTGAAGCAGATGTTCTACATTATTGGGGCTGTCACCCTCAACAACCTGCTGCTCCGAAAGGACATGTGTTCATGGAGCAAAGGCATGCAGATCAGGTAAGAATAATCCAGAAGTGTTATAGTTTGACAGATTATATAGTATAGTCCCCAGTGCATTTGAGGAATAAACAGAATACCTAGAACAGGAGAAAACATATTTGTTTTTCTCAATAATGGAAAGCACTTACTTTGCTTTAACGTACTTTGTCCTAAAATTGTAAAGATCAATCTTTATTAAAGGAATCCTGCAGTGAAAGGAATATAAAGGGTCTCAATTAGGGATGCACTGATACTGGACATTTTCACGAGCACTCAAGAAAAATGCCCAATACCAAACACCGATACCGGTGCTTACAATTTTTAAATTTAAGCGGCTGCCTGAGATCCTATGCTTGCTGGGGACCTGGCAGCTTCCTGTGAACCACGGTGCCCGTTTACAGTGCCAGCCGCACATCTCCTCCTTTCATGGGAACCACGCAGCGCCCACGAGACCCCGCACAGCCCACTTAAGACCCTGGAGATAATGCCACCACCCCAGAACAACACAGAGTATGTAGCTTCATATTATTCTGCATTGTGCTGTATAATGTGTTGCTGGGATTTGTAATTCTCTATAGCTGATGATGTTCTGTATTGTGCTGTATAATGTGTTGCTGGGATTTGTAATTCTCTCTATAGCTGGTGGTATTCTGCATTGCTGTATGATGCATTGCTGGGATTTGTAGTCACTCTACAGCTCAGAGTCAGTGGCAGAACTACCAGGGTCGCAGCAGTCACAGCTATTCCTACACAGTCTCCCTGTAGGACTGGTTTAGCTATGCTCATCGATGCATTCTTGTACGCTGCCATGTAAAAACTCCTAAAATGACGTCGGCAAGCTTTGACAGACTCGTCCACACAGCAACACCCACAGTGTAGCTGACTGACAGCAGCTCCAGTACTGTGCAAATCTGCTGGTCGCTGGATCCATTCTGCTATTTTTGTCCAGGCAGGTAGTGTAATAAAAAACAGGCAAACGTCTTTAGACAGAATTTGTTTAAAACTAATGAAATACTCATACTGTCATAGATATTCTGTTTATGATGGTCCTCTGCTGCTGTCACTTGTAGGAGGTACCAGTTGAGTGATCGAGAACGATGACATACAATGCATTGATTAACGTCAGTGAAAGGCATCATGGGATTTGTAGTCTGAGGTTGGCAGTGCATGTGTCCATGATGATACATACACTGCTCAAGCCTTAAACTGGAAGTGTAGGAAGGTGTTTCAGCAGTTTGCTGGCAAAAGGCAATAATTGGTAGATAAACCCTTTCTTGGCTCGTCCATCACAGCTCGTCTATCACAAATTGCCATGAGGTGGGAATTACTATTTAAATAACTATTTAGAGATAGATTTGCACATGTGTTTTTTTTAGCATGAGGGTTTAGTGACACATTTCCAGGAGCCCAGTAAAGCCTATATATCTCTACAGCCTTGCTTTAAGCATGCTAAGATCAGCAGCCTAAACTTTAAAAAATAAATGATTGTGCGATGTGTGCTCACTCGTAACAGGGATACAAAGGCTGATGATATGTGCTTACCAGTTACAGCGGAGTCCTACTTGTGACATCCACAATGCTTCCTCTAAACATAATTCATGTAGTTTGCTAATCACACCATCGTGGTTACTATAGAATCAGCCAGAGTGCAGAGAGTACAGAAGACAAGAGCACTGCGCTGCCCTATTGGTAAATTGCAGTATGCCCTAATAGCTTTCCAAGAAAGGCTGCGTCTTTCAGTTTGTGTGCTAAGGTTAATGATTCATTAAGAAAAAGGTATAAAAAAGAGTGAATAACATCTCTTTAAAGGTCAGTAAACTTCATAAATATGTTAGTTTATGTATAAAAGCTGTGAAGGAGCAATAAGAGAATTAAACATCTTTCAACAATAAAAACAGTATATTTGCGTGGTGTATTCAGCTTTTACTTTAGGTTCAGCTTTAATGGCTTTTAGGAAGTTTCTATACGTGTTGACGTTTCATGAGCTCTTTACAGTTCGTGCAAAACTCCCATTTTAGTTGTGGATGTTGGTGGGATGAAGCACATCACCAAGTCCATAATATTGGTGTAAATTGCTCTGCTGCATCAAGTAGTTGTAGAAAACACTGGCAGGTGATGTTACTGTTGAGGGCAAGTATAGGATTATGTATTTTGTGTAGTTGGGCATTTATGAGCATGATGATTATTATCTTTTCTATAACATGATACATATTTTGGCTTCTTTATCCACATTTAGACAAATTGGTTAATAGCAGTGAGCAGTAGCTTATTTGTACGGTAAATGTAAAGCTAAAATCAGTAGGCATCATAAAATGTTATGCTTTTTGTCTTTAATGCAATGCGATTGCTCTTCAAAGACTTGTCAATTTATATAACTGTTATTTAAACTATCCTGTGCAGTTCTAATTATTTCTACTTATTCCTTTAAAATTGTTTAAATTAAGCCAAGTTACAGTGTTTCTTGCCGTTTTCTACAACTTTCCTAGCAGTTGTTAAATAACTTGTAGTTTTAATGTAGTTTCAATGATTTTTATACATATGAGATGCCTGTAAAACCCAATAATGTGACCAATAATATGCTAATCTGGAAGCTGATGTTTTGTGTTACTTAATACAGGTACAATGTAAGCCAGTTAGAGGAATGGCTGCGGGACAAGAATCTAATGAACAGTGGGGCCAAAGAGACCCTGGAACCCTTAATTCAGGCTGCTCAGTTGCTACAAGTGAAGAAGAAAACCGATGAAGATGCAGAGGCTATCTGCTCTATGTGCAATGCTCTGACTACTGCTCAGGTAAGGTTCCTCTATTTACAGTGAGGATATGAGCCAATCCAGAAGGGGTGTGCAGAGCAGGTTGATGTATTCTTTGTGGTCACTGTGCTCTGTACCTTACGGTGGCCATGCACTGTGCGAATTTTGTTTGGTTCTTGGTGAACCGACCGAAATTCGCAGTGGATGCCGCTGTCTGCAGCCTTTTGTCTGGCATCCCTCGATTAGCTGATTGAAGGAGCCAGTCAGAAAATCTTTAAACAAATGAGCTGCCAGCTGTGCTCGGGTATACTGACAGGAGCCACCATGACAGCGGGAGATTCCATGATCAAATTGGTGCCAAGAAGCTAAAAGTCTTCTGACAAAGCTTTTCCTATTCAACCGAAGGAGCATTTGTCAGGTGCTGATGATGAACAAGAGGACCTGGCTCAAAACTGACATTCCAAGTCATCCCAAAGGTGTTCAGTATGGTTGAGGTCAGGGCTCTGTACAGGCAACTAAAGTTCCTCCAGACCACACTCATTAAACCATGTCTTTATAATGGAACAGAAAAGTGCCTTCCCCTAACTGTTGCCAAGGTTAGCAGTGCACAATTGTCTTAATCTTAAATGACTACTGCTAAACTGTACCTATAGTGTAAAGAAAGAAAAACCTGAAGGGTAAATTATATTGTCTTTTTACAGATTGTGAAAGTGTTGAATCTCTATACTCCTGTAAATGAGTTTGAAGAAAGGGTACTGGTATCGTTTATACGCAACATTCAGGTACAGTATGATTTTTGTTGTTTGGTCATAGGACATATGTCCTCCATGTTTTGATACACTTCAGTATGATTTATGACCTCAGCATACACTGAGTGGCCAGTTTATTATGACCACCTGACGTTTGTAGGCAAATTAGCTATAATTCCGCGCTGAAGTTGCTAGAGGGCCAGACCATTATAAATAGGGAAGCAGGTTGTTTACCACGACAGTAGAAGTGATTTTTTTCTGAAGATACGGGTAAACAACGCGATTTAACAGCCTTAGTACGTGGGATGATTGTTGGCGCTCTGAGCCATGGAGCGAGTATCAGCAAAACAGCAGAATTTGTAAATGTTCAAGAGGTGCTAATTGTTAAAGTGTTTAAAGACTGTCAGCTGAAAATCGGGGTCTGAACGTGCGAATTGTGGCCGTCAGCGACTAGTCAATGTTAGGGCAGAACGGAGAGGGGCAAGACTGGTACAAGACAACAGAGGGGCAACAGTGCAGATTCCTTGCATCACCTTTTCAACATCTCGTGGAGTCATCTCGTGGCCCAACGAAGTACTGATGGGGTGGTCATAATAATCTGGCCATTCAGTGTATATTACTAGGATGTTTGTATTGCCGTGTTTGAGTTGGGTACACAGTCATCAATGGATATTAGGGAAAAAATAAACCTCTATATATTAATAGACCGTAAAACATCACATACAATTTACATTGGTAATGCAAGTGTACAATTTAATATATTATGTTTTTGGTTTTTAATTTTATGGATTCAAAAATGAAATGGTTGGTGTGGTATCCAAGTTTTCTTGTGTTTATAGTTTTTCAATTTTTGTGGGCACTGAAAGTTCCGGCACCCAAAAATGGCATCTAATGCATAAACTCCAAAAATGAATTTACATCTTTGATAAGGAAGGTGATGGAAGTGTATTAGCATGGTCAGATTTGGTGAGACATTTTGTTCAATGGTGCCAGCAGCGTCTTCGGACTATACAGACATGCACCTCCATACAATAGACTTGCGTTGATGCTGGTTGGGCAATCACATTTTCCAATGTCTGCACAGTAACACTGGTGAGCCTAAAATGACATGTATGCTCATGAAATATTGAGATAAGGGGACCAAAAATATGAACTTTGCTGGCTTGAATAGCAGAAGAAAGAAAGGTGAGCCTAAAGGTTTATGTAGTGTGTTCAGCAAGAAAATGAAGCGGAACAAACTCGCCGAGTTTGTAGACTGTAAAGCAGAGTGAACAAATAATTAAAGTGGCACTAAACTCGGGAGTTAATCTTAAAAATACATTCAAGTACCTTATCTATTACCAAAAATGTATCTTTTTTTTTTGTGCATCACTGAGGTGTAGATCCTCAAATCATCTCTGAATTCATGCTGACACTGTTCTTTCTTCTGGAGGGTGGCTACTTTTGTTTCCCATGGTCCCTGTGTGTGTTTGTAAAGCAGCCACTGCGCCAAGCTCGCTCCTGTGATGAACTACAATCTCAATATAAATTAGCAAACTAAATGTGAGATTGTAGTCCATCACAGGAGTGAGCTTGGAGCGGTGGCTACTTTAGAATACACAGGGACCATTGGGAACAATAGTAGCCACCCTCCAGAAGGAAGGACAGTGTCAGCACCAATTCAGAGATGATTTGAGGATCTACAGCCGAGTGACACACAAATAAGATACATTTTTGTTAGTTAAGGTACCAGAATGTATTTTTAAGAATTAACTCCTGAGTTTAGTGCCACTTTAAGCCTTTCACTCACCACAACCATGCAGTGAATATTGTTATGATGAATGAATTCATACATTGTCAGCTGCTGCTACATGATGTGTCACTTATATTAAGTCCAGTGAGAGCACCAAACAAGACAATCTAAGAGTCCAAAAACATATAATAATATAATGGGTTCACAAACATTAACACAGACCAGCCAACGTGTTTCTGCAATGGGATATGACCGCAAACAGTGAATCAACAAAACTGAGCAAAAGCAAGTTTTGCCGATTCACAGATTGTGGTCATGTCCCATTACACCAAAATATAATCCCTGCGGATTTGTGCCAGCTTTCAGTCCATATTATTACCCATTATGTGTTACCCTGAAGAAGGAAGAGCTCTTTGAGCTCCCAAAGCTCATTGGCTGTTCTATGTTGTCATTTGTGAACCAGTTTTATTACTAAACATTTTTGGACTGTCGGACGGTCTTGTTTGGCGCTCTTATTGAATTCTATATACGTGAATCTTCAATTCTGGGTCTTTTTGTTTGAGGGACATCTCTTTTTGTAGAGTGTGGGGTCACCTTAGCCATTGTGCTTTATCAACAATCAACTGACTGATCTTCTGATTATTTAAATCCAGCACCTCATCTCTACTTGTTCCAAACACTACATGATGTGTGACGGTTCAAATTTAGATATAATTTCATTTGCTGGCAGGCGTAGGGAGTGGAAGTAATGGACTCTACTGTATCTACTCCAAATGTATATAACCATTAAAATATTGAAATACTTTGACCTGAAATAATCATTGTTTGTCTATTTTCCCTCAGTTGCGTCTAAGGGACCGGAAGGACGCCCCTCAGCTGCTAATGGATGCCAAGCACATCTTTCCTGTCACCTTCCCATTTAACCCATCATCTCTGGCTTTAGAAACAATTCAGATCCCCGGTAGTCTCAGCCTAGGTTTCATCTCTCGCGTGTAGAGAGAGCCACGTTGCCACATATCATTTTGGATGTGAATCGCCCTGACATGTAAGACGCACTGGAGAAGCATTATGGAGTCCACCACTGCATTCTTAGATATGACTCGTATACCTTCTGCAGTTTGTATATCATGTATAAGAGACTGATAGAAAGATGTCAGTTGGTACACATCCAGTGGAATTGTCCTTAAAGCCTATTGTTTGGGTAATTTGCCTTGCTCCTCAAAACCACATTCTGGGTCGCCAGTTATATTCCCAAAATAGCCATTCCCTTCCTGATAGGAGATAAACAGAGGTTACATGTAATGTATTTAAATACATTTTCTTAGTGTAATCACATGATTCACCAGAAGCTACGCTCTATTGTGGTAGACTATATGGTAACCGGTCATTTCATCACTATAGGTGTATGAATAACTGTGTACACTTGTAACAATAGCCAGACCACATCATTATTTATTTTACAAGAACAATTCTATAAAAGTATTGGAAGAAACAAAAAGAAATCAGCTTTATGTGTAATGTAGATGATGTTCATTTTGTTAGCACCGTGGTTTACTATGCATTGAAAATGCTGCTGTGTTTTTGTGTTGCTCTAATGTTACAATATCCGTATTCGGCACTACACAATAAAATATTCATCTCTTTATTATCCAGTATGTTTACAGTCCAATGTGATCTGTTTATTAGGGTAAGCCACAGAATAGGCTGGATTCCTTATCTGGAAACAAGGAAGAGGCACCTTAAGCACAAACGGATTACTGATACAAATTTCTGTTTTTAAATAAAAGAAATAAAATATAAAAAAAGAAATAAAAAATAGAAGCCTTAAAGAACAAATAGATTCTCGTAATATATTGTTAAAGGTTATGTATAGTCTTTCCTGGCATTTTTTAAGTCTGATTGAGTGTTTCAGTTCAACACAGTATTTTTTCTTTTGTTGCAGCTGATGGTTTTAATGATGTTTACTGTGTTATTGGTGTTTCTTTGCTGTATTACATATTGTTATTCAGTGCTGTTTATTTATTTATACCCCTATAGTACAGAAAAGAGGCGGCTTGTAGTGGATTGATTCATTCACTAATAGTAAGGGAGTTTAGATGAAGAAGTGGTCACAGTATTCCTGGTATTTGCATCACTCACTACTACGGACCAGCATGCAGAAAAAGAGGCTGTACCGCAGCATAAAGCACGACGTGTAAGTGCATGTAAGGACACTATTATACTAAGTATCGTGGTGTAGACTTCACCTGTCCACTGCATTTACTGTCTGCATTTCAACTGATTAGAGCACTACAAAAAATACAAACAGATGAGAGCTTGCAACACCTAAGACAAACTATTTATAAGTGTTCATGTTGGTGAGTATTCTAAAAGGAACAAGCAATGTGCACTTTCACCAGTGCTACCTGGCACAGATATTCCATATTTCTAACTGTTAACAATGATGATAAAAATCCCTCTTATGCTGAGTCCACATGAAGATGATAATTTGATTATAGAGAGGGCTGTATTTACCATAATGCCACTCCATGGCTAATACCTAGGGCAGCAGGGAAAAGGTTACAGCCCCATGCCTCAAAATGTACAAAGTGTGGAAAACTTTTTCTTTATATTGTTTTCCTCTTCTGCCCACCTCTAAACAGTTGTGGCTAAATGCAGAAAGAAAATGTATGGGCTTCTGGGAATATTGAGGGGAGTCAGAAAACTCTTCAGGAAAGTTCAGGAAATGTGAAATGATCTCTCCTTTCTCTTGTTTGTTGGTCTGGAAAGCTGAGAAGTTGCTCTGCATATTAAACATGGCCCAGGGGGTGGAGCTTATCACATGGCCCGGGATGGAACTTATCACATGGCCCGGGATGGAACTTATCACATGGCCCGGGATAGAACTTATCACATGGCCAGGGATGGAACTTATCACATGGCCAGGGATGGAACTTATCACATGGCCAGGGATGGAACTTATCACATGGCACGGGATGCAACTTATCACATGGCATGGGGTGCAACTTATCACATAGTACTTGGGGTAGAGCTTGTACATATAGGCATTATCATTTATGTCTCTTTGGAATAGCATGATGCCTAAAAATGACCCTGGTTATCGATAGATTCTTGCCATACTTCCTGAGTTTCTTCCTGTCCACATTGGAGAATATCTCCTGCAACAACAACCCGTTGCATTCCCTTTCATATTAAAAATAACCCAACAGGAAGTCTGAGTCCCCTTATAATGGCTGCAGCAGGTGTGCAAGCCCAGGAACTTAAGTGCAGGGAGCTCATCATATCTGAGAGATACTAGAAACTGTTTGGCTCTTTGAACCTGAAGCATCTATCATATCATTTCTGGGTAGACTCAACTAGCCCTGTGCGGGAAAATACAACATGTCTACATTTTTCCACAATGCTCTGCAACCAACCTCAAGTCAGAGTTGCAGTGTAAATGAGGCACATGCGGTGTTCTTGTGCAGAAAAACACCAGTCACCGCACATTATCTAAATGAGCCCTTAAGCTTGACTTACCACCGCATGTTTATTTGAACAGTAGGTGGAAGGTAAATACATTTTCTCTGCATTTATTGGGTTTCAATGTCTCCATTATCTCCATCTTGCTCCAACTCTATTTATAAGGAGCTATCATTGTTGTAATCCTTTTTTTCAGTGGTTTTAATTAGTTCCATCCAATTTTTTTGTTATATCGGCTGCCTTCCATAATTAAATCGATTCCCAGTACTGCTTTCTTCTTAAAGTACAGGAAGTAATTTGCTGCTTTAACTGAGAGTAGAATGGAACAAGACCACTGACTTTCTAACTTCCTTTTATATACAAAAAGTTCTCTAGACCAAAACAGCCAATTAGACATTTGGTCCCACCCTCTGCGTTTTACTAGACACATAAATGCTAAATGCTCTTGGTTACCATGGCTATAGGATAGATTTTTTTTCTCCATAAATACACTTTAATAAATGATCTTGGATTTATTTGATTGCATAAGCAGTCGGAGCATCAAATGGAGGTCACAATGTCTGTCCCCATGCATGTTGTTGATTTTTTTGAGCTGCATGTTTTGGTGCCACAGAAATCTAGCACTCTGGCTTTTACGCCCTCCCCCTCCCCCAAACAATGTGGTGTAAACATTTTGGGTCACAGTAAATAAATAAAGTCCGTCATACTATGCAAGCGTAGCCGCTTTGTGTGTGACATCATCAACTTTGTAAATCTTATACAACATGAGATTTGACCCACTCTGTAATATATACACCCTGATATGACTTTATTTTTACCACAGCCATATTGGATGTTGGTGTTTGTGTCACCTGTTAAGCAGCTCCATGCTGTAATGCCATGTTTGCTGCAGCACAGAACAGTTAAGGCCGTGACACACTGCACGCGAAGCTGTGCAGAGCGAAGCAAAGGTCTCCGACACAGAGCTTCGCGTGCAGTGTGTGAGCTGAGTGCAGTTAGATGATTGACTGCACCTTCAGCCAATCGGCTCGTCTGTAACAACCGGTCAGACGTCGCATCCCGCCGCGCCTGTTTATACGCGCGAGCCGATTGGCTGAAGTTGAAATTGTTCATCTCGGCACGCTTAGCTCTGCGAGCTCTCGCAAGCTGAGGTGCCGAAAAGAAAGTGACATGACACACTGCTTGCAAAGGCAGCGCGCCACCGCTCCGCGCTGCTTCACGTGCAGTGTGTCACGGCCTTTAAGATACAGAAGCTCTTCAATAAGCAGTTATAATACAGTGTATTTGTGGAGATTAAAAATGACATTAGAACCTTATGTTTAAATAAATCCATTTTTATTTATGAGATGATATTGCCAAATACATTGGGGTTGGTTTACTAAAGGCAAAGAGGCTTTTCATTTTGCAAGAACATTTTCCCTTAGCTTTGTGAATGTGGTGAAAATCCACTTTGCAAAGATTACCCAATCACATGCAAATAAAAAAAAATCAAAACAGGATTTCTGCTTGTATGATTGGATGATGGAAGTCCGCAGAGCTTTACCTCATTCACTAAGCTAAGGAAACATTCCCTGGGAAAGTGAACAGCCTATTTGCCTTTAGTAAAGCAACCTCATTGTGTTTATTATAGGTATGCATGAGCTCAGTTTGAGTCCGAATCTGAGCTCCTCTTAACCCAGAAGTGACATGGGCCCACTCAATCAGCTGAGGGTCAGGTCATTTTCCCCCCTGCAGCTGTACATATACAAAGGGCAGGATGCCTGTGATGATGCCACTGATTTTTTATGGCCACGTGGCATAATTAGGCCAAAGCCATTGACCTGATATAGCCATGTGACCATGTAAGGTCAATGACATGACAGCATCACGCCCCTTTGCTTACGTGCAGTTGCATGTATGGAATTCCCTGGCTGCAGCTGTTCGGGTGGCAGTGGAAGAAGCGTCCTTCAGGGTTCAGTCCGAACCTGAGCTCATCTCTAATTATAAGCATCATTTGAACTACGGTACGTATTTCCAAAGCTTTTTAGGTTTAATACTTACATTTTGCAGAATTCCTCCTGCCAACTTCTTCAAAGCTTTTTTCCACACATCTTCATCTTAATTTCTCAATACCCATCTAAGTGGCTTCTTTTAACTGGTACACGTCCTCCTATGGGTGCATTGTTCTAGGTATAGTTCTTTCCTTTTAGTTGTTGTTGTTTTTTTTGTACATTTAACTTACTCACAAGGATGTCTGTCTGCAAAGGTGACGAATAATAAGTTAAGGAAATGGGAACACTTGCACTTATGTGACAGGCAAACAACAGATGAGAGAAAGTTATACTTGCAGCTGGGGTGGAGACCTTTTCAAATGAACTTCTTAAGACACTTTCCCAAGTGTACACTCTTTGTAGAAAATACCAGTAGAAAAAAGGACTCCCGTACCAGATACTGGTTATCATTCCATGCGGATTGACTGATCGTGAATAAAAAAAAGAATAATCTTTGAAATACATTGCTTACCATGCATGAAGCTATTCTAGTCAAGGTGGTCAATGCACACAGTGCATGATACTATGTTTCTATCATTTATTTCATGTATGATGTAATTTATTCTTTACTAGACTAGGTACCAGAATAGGACTCATTTCTTAATTCATACATATCCTTGAAAGAAAAAGGTTGTTAATGAATTTCATTTAGGCAATAATAATACTGAAGTCCATATGCTAACAGTTATATTCTGTACTTTGTAATGTCATGCCTAGCAAATGTTTGCATCAGTAACACTGTAACTAATAAGCTATCACTGCAAACTGTAAAAAATAAAATAAATTCAAGAATGTGATGTCTAGCTTTTTTATTTCACCAATATACTGTGATATTGAAGAACTGTTTAATAAGTAAAATATTCTACTGTATGACTAATACAATTCTCATTTATTCAAAAGGTTTTAGCAAAATAATAGATTGTAAACATGCAGTCCAGTATAGACATGTAGAGAAATGTCACTGCTCCCAGCCTGTGTAAAAAAAATCTCCCTCCTCTAGAACCCCGGGTGGCGGCCAAAGAGAGCCCAACCGTGCTCTACTTATGAGCTCAACAGGAAAGCAGGAAGTCGCACACCGATGACATCCAACTTTATTGAGCCCAGACATGGCACACTGCAGCCCCGGCTAGGACCACCCTTCTCTATAGTTTCACCAAGCCTGTTTTAGGTGAAACTTTAGAGAAGGGCATCCATGGTGGGGCTGCAGTGTGCTATGTCTAGGTTCAATACAGTTGGATGTGATCTGACATCGGTGTGAGACTTCCTGCTTTCATATGGATACCATTATGTCATACCACCACCCCTGACACTGCACATCATTATAGATGGTACATGCATTTTAGCAGTGATTTTCTGCAATTGTATAAGGAGACTTTGTTCCCAATTTCTGGTTCTAAATCTTAAGTACATAGGCTCTAAGTATACACAGAAGGATTCCTGATAAGCTCCCTCTTCCACCTCCTGTGAAATTGCTGTCAGAACACTGCTGGGTACCGCTATCTAGTTTTCATCATCAGTGGAACTTACGGACACAGTTGCCCTTTGCACACCTGCACCTGTCTCATCGGACAATCACTTTCAGGCTGTTCTAGGAAGCCCTCAGCTTGGATAACTGGTGGAAGGGGGAGCAGCATGCAAGGACTATGGATCCATCACTACTGGTAGTGTTGGATTCCTATTAGATTTGTAGCACATTTTACTAACTGAAAACGGAGCCCATGGGCATCCTTGAAGGTATTTATTTTACTGAACTGACCGGAAATGGTCTGGGTAGCTAAATGTCATGTTGTATTCTTATCTAAGTATTGGGTTTAAAAGTTTTTATAGCTGTCATGAAAAGTAGATCATCCGAGTTTCTGGGAATTATGCTCCTAATATTGCTGTAATCAGGGACATTGTTTTTAAATATTACTGGTACTACCATAGCAGATGAGACCTGGAGACATTGACCATTCAGGTATGCTGACCCTATGGCCCATGTGGGTCCCTGATGCTTGTAGTACAGGGGTGAATACATTCTAGTTGATCGGTAGCCTGTACAAAAATACAACAAACTTTTTTTATGCTTTTTTTTTTAATTAGTATTATTATTGCCATCAATGGCACCATCTTCTGTAGTTCCTTAAAGTATCCATTGACACATCCCTTTGCTTCCCCTACTCTTACTTATATGCAGTAATGATGGAGGGAATGGGTATAATAGGTAGGTACATTAATGGGAATTGCATACATCATACTTGGTATACTATTGCTGGGGCACTGTAGGTTGGATTGCTCCCTTATTCTATCATTTGATCCAAATTTTCTTCTTTTATGATCTCAATTAGTAAAGATGAAAAATGAACTCCAGGCATATATAAACTTAATACAGTTCTAGATCAATTAAAATATTTCAATGCCTTTACATTAATAATTGAATTATATTTTAATGTAAATACATGCAGTTAGTGTAAGTACCTGAACCACATACCCTTCTGAAATCCCCGGTACAGTTGTAGTCAGGTTAGGAAGCCAATCAGGCTGCATTGCACAGTGATGTTGATCTAACACAGGTAACATGCTCACAGGAGTGGAGAACAGATAATGGATCTCTTTAAATGGGCTGCTGCTTCTTCACTATCCAGTTGAAGGCTCAGTTGAGTCCCATTTCAGGCTATTTTGCTTCATTTTAGTTTGGTCTGAAGTATGGTCACATACTGTGCCTGGTTT